TAAATTACCTTTTAATGAGATTTATTTGCTTTATTTTCCTTTTTTTGCTGTCACAAATAATATTATATTTTTACACATAAATAAAAAGACTGTAAGTCTCTCAATAAACTCCGGACTCAGGTTGGCCGAAGCAAGGAAAACTTGTCCAGGTGGGGATTTCCAGCGGGTGGCCTGGAGTGTAGATGTGGTACTGTTCCACAAACGATGAGGCACTTACTGGCATGTCCTGCTTGCCCTGTTACCTGCAACTTACAGGAGCTTATGGACGCCACTGGTAAAGCAACGATCGTGGCTGAGTTTTGAGTTGACACGATTTAAAACTTGCCATCGACACGAAAAGAAGAAGAAGAATAAAAAGACTTATGACCGTCTATCATATCTTGTTACAAAGTAATAAACATTAAGTTTGATATCACATCGTTATCATCCACACATATTATCTTTATTGTACGTACTATATCATTAGAAATTATTTTGTCAGTTCGTGTCGGCTCACCAAACTTGGCCCCCCAAGTATTTTTTTTTAATTTTTGAATTTTTATTTCTCCTTATCGTTTGTTCTTGATAACTATGATGAATATAATTGTTTATTTATAAATAAATAAACAAAAATGTACGCTCAAAATGGCCCCCTCAATCGAAATTTATAATTTTTCTTTTTACTAGTAGTCTGTGTTTGTTCATTTATTAAAATAAAATACGTTTGTTCTATCGTCAAAGTGCCTATTTTTTGTTTAATTAACAATTTTAGTTTCCCTCAATTATTATTCAGATATACCTACTTGTGTTGCGCATGCGTCAATTATATTTTTTACGAGCATGAATGTAATAAATATTTAACAATTTTTGAGATATTATACAAAACAAATACATAAATAAATTATTAATAACTGAAAATAAAAATACACCTGTAAGGAATATTATATAATCTGTATTTTTTTTATTTGTATTTATTTGTAAGTACACTACAACTTTAAAATAGTAAAAGCATTGATGTTTTCTATTATAGACTAGCATTGCCCGCGGCTCCGCCCGCGTTCAGATGACCAATAACCAGATTCTTAGGTTTTACATATTAGTATACTCTTACACTGCAGTTTTTGTATTTTTTCTCAGAAATGTGACATTTTTCCGAGGTAAAAAGTATCCTATATGTTGACCCGGATAACCAGCTATCACCATACCAAATTTCATCAAAATCCCTCCAGTGGTTTTTCTGTGATGCGGTAACAGACAGACAGACAGACAGACGGACGGACGGACGGACAAACGGATACAGACAAAAATTCTAAAAACTATAGATTCGGCTTAGTTACAATTTTATTATATGTATAGAAAGATAAGTTATATGTTCACGAAACAAGCGACAAAAATGCTCCGAATAAAGCGGCAACACAAATTCTCACACATTTATTATTTTATCTAAACCACCACATTGCCAAATGATGTGAAAGGGACAGCGTAATCAAAACTATAAGAAAAAAAAAGACAGCTAGTGTTTGTCATTTGTGCGTAAGTATTCTTTGAATTACGTAATCATGGCTTCTTTATTATTATGACTAGCGGCTCACCCTCGCTTCGCTCGGGTTCACCTCTAGAAAAGCACAAACAGATATATCCCACGGGAATCGTTCATTTTTCCGGGATGAAAAGTAACCTGTTGCTTGACCGGTAATATAAGGTATCAGCATGCCAAATTTTACGAAATTAGGTGCGGAAGTTGTTGTGTACTAAGCTGTATAAGTTACTATAGTTTTTTTGCTATCCCACGGAAACTCTTTAATTTTCCGGGATGAAAAGTAGCTGATTTGTTTTTGTCATGTATGAAATATATTATTGTAAAGTTTCATTAAAATCCAATCAGTAGTTTTTGTGTACTAAGCTGTATAAGTTGTTTTAGTTTTTTAACTATCCCACGGGAACTCTTTAATTTTCCGGGATGAAAAGTATCTAAGATGTTGCCAGGGGATATAAGGTACCACCATACAAAATTTCATTTAAATCGGTCAAATAGATTCGGAGATTAACCCGTACAAACAGAAAAACAGACAAACAGCTCGCTCGGGTTCGTCCATACCTATGAATATGTTGTATTATCTCTTTAACCATTTGTCCAAATTATATGCAGTAAAGGGGAAAAGTCTTTTGTTTTAAATATTTTATACGATAAATTTACTTATTTTGATAAGAATTCATAATTGTTGATAATATGACCAATAAACATGACCTACCGATTTAAATTATTTTTTTAATATAAAAAACTACTTTTTGTGACTTAAATATAAAAGTTAGACATAATATGTTGTCGCTGACTTTTTTGTAGGCATTATTAAGCTCTACAACTTTTCTCTAGAACATAATCATATATCTCTCATCGTTAAGGCAGCGTTCGTAAGAAACGTTTTCGTTCGACCGTTTTTTCTCCGACTTACTTTGCAAATCCGACTACCAAGAAAAAGCCTCTTCATTCTTCGGGTTAATATATAGCCTATGACACTCAGAAAGAACGTGGCTTTCTATTGGTAAAAGAATTTTGAAAATCGGTTCAGTAGATCCAGAGATTACCCCCTACAACGTCACAAACTCACAAACCCACAAACTCACAAACTCACAAGATCACAAACTTTACCTCTTTATAATATTAGTATAGATTACAAAAGATTAAACTAAATAAAAGATAATAATTTCGGCTTACTTACCTGTAGTATGTGATACCGTGAACTTTTTTAATATTATAATAATCAATTATAATATTAAATACGATAATTTTTTTTTAATTTTATTTATTAGGATCTCCAAATATCACTAATACATTAACAATACATAACCTATAGGCACTCACAATTATAGGAGAACACAACATGCTTCATATTTTATAAAAATATTTTAAAACTTTACATTATATTAAAGAGTGCTTAAAATTTTTAATAACAATAATAATAATTTTAGTACTGTAGTTACTGTAACACCACGGAATTTTAGTTATAAAAACGAATGCTAAGCACCGGTTAGCAAACTAACAATAACACACGTATAATGTTAGTAAAGTATCAACCTCTTAACATTATATCATTGACTGTCGCTGGTCGCTGTGATTTTCAAAAGAACCGCCATTTTAAATTGACGCATGCGCAAACAAGTTTATCTGAATAATTATAATTGAGCTAAATGAAAATAGTTATTTAATTTTAAACATAACATAAGCATTTTGACGATAGAAAAAACGTATTTTATAAACGAACAAACATTAATGAATATTTAAAATTAAAGACTAGGTACTAGTAACAAGAAAAAATATAAATTTCGATTGAGGGTACATTTTTGTTTAACTATTATTTATAAAAAAAAACAGTTTATAAACAAACGATACGTGAAAATGAAAACAGAAAAATTTAAAAAAATAATAATCCCGGGGGGCCTGGTTTGGTGAGCCGTTCGATAGCAACCATGGTTAGCATGTGGGGTTGTAATTTGTAAAAGCAAACTAAAAAAGAAAAGGAAAGCTAAATGAGCCCGTTCCAATATTATTAGAACCTTCCCCTTTTTTATTATCCTTTTGTACCCCTTAATTATTGCTGGGCCCCACACTTGAAAAACCAGCCTTGGTATGACCAAGTCAATTATCAATAATACATATCTTTTAACATCGCATCCACTTTAATTTCCTGCCTTAAAAAGTTTCTAACTTTTTTTCTAACTCCACCGTCGTGTCCTCGAACTATACATAAAATAAACTTGTCGCTTGGTTTCGGCAAGAAAAAAAATGTCTAACATAGACATTTTTCTTTTAATTTTTATAATAATCCATGGATAGTGATAAATTAACAGATTAAAAAATTTTCGCAAGGTCCCGAACGGTTCATCAAACCAGGACCCCCAAGGGATTATTATATTTTTTAATTTTTGAATTTTCATTTTCAAATATCCTTTGTTTATAAATTGCTTTTTTTTATAAATAATAATTAAACAAAAATGTACCCTCAATCGAAATTTATATTTTATCTTGTTACATTATAAATACATATAAACACCCATGACTTGAACACAAACATTCGTGCTCATCACACAATAAAGGCCCCCAGCGGGACTCGAACCCGCGACCGCTGGCACAGCAAGTAGGGTCACTACACACTGAGCCAAACGCGTCGTCATTGTTTTACATTTCTTTTAATACTTTCCTCAAGTAACGAGTGATTTCTAAATTTATCACATTGAGTTGAGATTAGTCTCTTTTTAACTTTTCGAGTGTTTTAGTGCCTTTTAAAAGAAAAATTAAAAAAATATTTCACAGACGTTAAATTGAATGTAATCATTTAAAGACGATGTTGATCAATTAACCCGCAGTATAAAGTACCCTATATGTTGACCAGCTATCATAATAGCAAATTTCATCAAAATCTGTGCAGTGGTTTTCTCGTGACGCGTTATAGACATAGACATATAGACAGACAGATAAACAAAAATTCGAAAAACTATAGATTTCCGCCTCTGTATCGATATTCGATAATAATGACTATTTCAATAACATTTTCCAAAAAATATTCAATAAAATTTTGTGTCGAAAAATGTGCTACAGTGGAGATGATGAGATGCAAGCATCTGCCCAAAACTATTATAATAAATATAACAATTCTATAAATCGTAAAAAAATATTTGTTTTATTTCGTACATTTAATACATTAATTACCTTATTTTACCTATTCAGTAATAAACTATTTAGTTTTAGTGTACTTGTTGATCAATTGATTTTTTAAGCTTTTTTACTTGTTATTCCATCTGATTGTCAAGTATACTACAAATAAATAGCTTATTACTGAAAATCTAGTATTTAAAGTAGGTATAAGTACCTACATAATATATACGTAGAGACATATATAATTGTGTTTTAGTTCTCGGTCAAGAAACAGAGGGCGCTTCAAAATCTGCACGAACATGTCGCGAGATGGCTCTTTTCCTGTATACATTATAGTACTCTTTGCACTATAAATCTAATAATATCACAGTTTTGCTTTAAATTCTTCCAGTAAAAATTTCGATATGTCTTCAGCCATGCAATCTGGATCATCGAGATGTACGTTATGGTCACCTTCTACTATTTTATATTTATAATTGCCATTGACCCACGCTTTTTCATCCAAAGCGAAGGGGGTTTCACTAAAAGCCCCTATTTCAATCATGCGGCTAGCGAATATTGCCAAGGTAGGTGTTTTACTTCGAGTATAAAGCTGTTTTAGGCTGTCAGGTGTAAATGGTAATATGAATGTGCTTTTCATTCTTTGATCGTAGGTAAATCTAAAAAAGAATGTAATAAAACATAAATAATAAATAAACGTACGTAAAAAAAAAACAAATAAGAAGAGAAATGAATTGAGTCTAGAATTCAGATAATTAATTTATTTGAAAAGCACCCGACTGCGTTCTTCCGGTTTTCTATTTCCGTAAATATATTTTAACCGACTTCCAAAAAGGAGGAGGTTATCAATTCGTCGGAATCTTTTTTTTTCTTTTTTTTATGTATGTTCACCGATTACTCAAAGACGCCTGAACCGATTTGGAATTTTTTTTTTGCTTCAAAGGGTATACTTTGGTGGTCCCATATAAATTTTATCGAAATCGGTAGAGCGGTTTTTTAAAAAATCAACAATATTTTTTTTTTAAATAAATTGCTTAATCGAATCTGTTATTAAAAAACTTTCTTCTTACAAATTACCTGCTTATTACGTTTATACTAAAAATGGATAAATAAGATTTTTTTAACAAAAAATAAAAACTGACTTCCAGGCACTAAAATGTAAAAAATAACTAAACGGAGGTTTTCTATTACCTAATCAAATATTTTCGAAGTCGGTGCCAGCCGACAATATTTTAAGATATGAATATCTAATAGGTAAATATGTATTTTACGTATCGAAATATATTAGATTTGTTTTGCATTGGCTGGCACCGACTTCGAAAAGATATAATAATATATTTACAATCAATACAAACTTTCATCCCCATTTTCACCACCTTAAGGGATGATTTCCGGGGAAAAAAGTATCCTATGTCCTTCCCAGGGTCTCAAACTATCTTCTTACCAAATTTCATCTAAATCGGTTCAGTAGATCCAGAGATTACCCCCTACAACATCACAAACTCACAATTCACAAACTTTACATCTTTATAATATTAGTATAGTATAGATTATAAAGAGGTAAAGTTTGTGAGTTTGTGAGGTGGTTTGAACTTTGAACCAATAAGCACTAAGGCGACGTATATATATATATGTAATATTAAATTACCGATACAATCCTTGTCCTGCTGGTTCTATGTTCCTGTTGATGATATGGTTTGCGGCTTCTTCACGAACAACTAAAGAAGCCATTATCATTTCTCTTACCTATAATAATAATAAATATTTTGCTTTAATTACTTTTATAAGGTTTAGTTAATAATTATTTTTACTAGTGTTCTAGTACTAGTGGTAATCTTTTAAATTCTAAATAAATTCTTCTTCTTATCTCGCGAGAAACCTTTTTTAACCGAACCCGAGAAAAAAAAACACTTTTTGTCGCTATCTAGCTAAGTGCCATTAAAATTGGTTCAGCCATTCCGGATATACATACATGTACAAACAGACCAACAATTTTCGTGTGTATGTGTATAATTTTGCACATTCACACTGACACTGTTAGACAGATTTGGATAAAATTAGCTCTCATATGGACTATGATGTGTGTGATGTAATATGCCAAAAGGTGGCTCTGACTATATATCTATACAGATAAATAAAATTTAAGTGTCTATTCGTTATGTTAAAAATAGCGGCTTTTTACTAAATGCATATGGAATTATATACGGTATTTATAAAAAAAAAACAGAAATTTTAAAATATGTCTGTTTGTTCCGCCTAATCTCTGAATAGGCTGGGCCGATTTTGACGGGACTTTCACTACCATGTATACTTTCAATAGTATGTTTATTTAATAGTATGTAGTTGATGTTATTAGGAGTAACTGAGGCTTACTTGTATTCCAGTAATAGAATTAGGGTTTCGTTCAAAAAAAAATGTACCTAGGGACGAACCCGAGCGAAGCGAGGGTGAGTCGCTGGTAATATCAAAAATACAAAAGACACGTACCAGGTTTTTGACGAAAAGGTTGTCTCAGTTTGTAGTGATCCTACTTGCTGTGTCAGCGGTCTTGGGTTCGAGTTCCGCTGGAGGCATTCATTTGTGTGATGAGCACGAATGCTTGTACTCCAGTCATGGGTGTTTATATTTATAATATGCATGTACTTAAAGTTATATAAATATGTGTAGTGTATCAACTGTCTGGTAACCATAGCACACAAGCCTCGTTTGTTAATGTTTCAAAAAAAAGGTAATTAATTTACTAGTTCATATTATAAAAAGATTATCCAGCATTATTTTACTACCTGTTCAACAGTGTACTTCGGGGCAGTTTCTTTTCCACTGATATGCTTTTTGTATGCCCGTTCCTCATAGTGATCGCCATATATTTCTTTGTACCACGCTGGCATTCCTTCTGGCAAGACTGTAACATATGCAGGTACCGGATCCAAGTCTACTATCCGGGTCATAACCCCAGGGTATACTAAATCGAAGAATTTACCTAAAAACAGTTATATGTCAATGTATATTAAGCTATTGCATAGCTTCTATCGCGGGCCTTGAGCGTGGGGACCGAATCCAGAAATTCCGTAACGAAAAAAACCTGACACCCCCCACTCCGACCGGCACAGCGGTGATACTTTTTAGTTTTTCCATCTATCGATAAATACCAGAACTTTTAATGACTTTTTGAAATATCACGCTTGTTTCTTTAGTTCAGCAACCCACCTTTAGGTGGCATTGGTTGTATTGGAAAACTACCGTAATCAGCTGTTTGTGAGAAAGTATATAGGTGTATAGGTATTTATCATCTATGTATAACAGTGAATATCTGTACTCGTATAATTTGTATACAAAGTGTTTTAAATATACGTACGAATACGTACGAAAAAAACCTGACACCCCCCACTCCGACCGAGTGGGGGGTGTCAGGTTTTTTTCGTTACGGAATTTCTGGATTCGGTCCCCACGCTCAAGGCCCGCGATAGAAGCTATGCAATAGCTTAAAAATTTTTCAAGACACAAATTGGCGCCTTAGATCCGCCATTTTGATTTTTAATGATATATATATACACTATAATACTCGCGTTATCAATACAAACCGAACGAGGTATTAATCATCAAAATCCGTTATAGCATTTATTAATTACGAGGGAATATAGGATCGGACATACATACATACAGGTCAAAAACACAACCCTCCTTTGGGCTTCGCCGCAGTCCAGTAGAAAAGTACTACATAAGGTTGTAGGTATCTACATATACCTATATTTGGTAGCTTATGTGATCTTATGTTAGTTAATTGTGAAAGGGTTTTAATAAAAAAAAAGTAATTTTCCATAAGACCACCATTGAGGTAAAATATAATAGTTGACATATAAAGTAGGTGATTTGAAGTTCAAACACCCCTAAATAAAAAATTATAAGTTCAAACTTACCGACAAGCGTTCCTAGTGAGTGACCAATGTAAGCAAACTTTTCATATTTGTAATGTTCAGCTACCCTCAAAAGAGAGGGTATGAGATCAAAAATGGTAAATCGACCACCTTTGGGCAGGTGATCGGAGTATCCATTGCCAGGAAAATCGAAAGCGATGTAGAAAAAATTTTGGGGTAGTCTCATGACCAGGGGACGAATTGCTGAACAGGGTATCATACGTCCAGATCCAAACAAAACCGGGGGATTGTTGGAATTACCCCATGTCAATGCTGAAATTTTTTTATATACTTTTAAGCTTATCTTTACTAATATTATAAAGGTAAAGAGTTTTTTTCGAGGTTTAAAGAGGTTTCAGTTTAAGGAGCCAATTTTAATATAATTTTTTTTTGCATTTCATAATCCATTTATTGAGAATGTTACAGATTATCTAACATCACGCCTTAAGAGCTGATAGAGCGAAGCTGTTGATCTCTGATGATAAACTACGTGAGTGGAGCCGCGACCAAAAGCTAGCTAGTTTTGTAAGTTAATATTTAGTCTATACATATAATAAAATTGTAACTAAGCCGAATCTGTACATTAAATATTTTTTGGAAAACCTTATTGAAATAGACATTATTGATACAGAGGCCGAATCTATAGTTTTTAGAATTTTTGTTTGTCTGTCTGTCTGTCTGTTACCGCATCACGGAAAAACCACTGGAGGGATTTTGATGAAATTTGGTATGGTGATAGCTGGTTATTCAGGTCAACATATAGGATACTTTTTACGGGAATATAAACTAAAATATAACAAACAATAATAGGTAATTTGCATGGCAGCCTTTTTGAAATTCGCCATCTTGGCCTTTTATTATTTTGTTGTTAACAGAAATACGTACTCGGTGAAAATTTCAACTCTCTACCTATTACGGTTCATGAGATACAGCCCGCTGACAGACGGACGGACGAACAGCGGAGGCTTAGTAATAGGGTTCCATTGGCACCCTTCGGGCACAGTACCCTAAGAACTGGCTAAGTGTGAATCGGACTCGCGCTTAGGGTTTCAAAAACCACCTAAACTAATTTCTATATACTTCATAGACAGTATAGGAACCATCTCACACTTGACCCCATTTTAAATAAAAAAGAATTTTGTAGCACATTACCTGCGATGTTACCCCAAGGTGCCTTTATAATAACATCTTTTTCTGTATTTCTCAAACACATCATTATCCTGTAATTAAAATGTTTTTATTATATCACAAATCAATGATACGGATACGGATACAAACGCTGACATTTTTAAAATACCTGGTGAAAAACATTTTTCTAAAAATTACTAAAATGGCTACAAAAGACTTATTTTGATGGCTACTACCATGAATATGAGATTATTTGATGAAACACGCAATTATTTTAGTAATTAATTATATCCTGTTAAATAAATTACCTTTAAACGAGATTTTTTGCTTTATTTTCCTTTTTGCTGTCATGTATGATATTGTTTTATGTTTTATGGTTATATAAAAAAAAGAGTACAACCGTCTTGTGTTTTATTTTGTTATACATTAATAAAAATTATGTTTGATATGACATCATTAACATTCACACACACGTGTCTTTTTCATTGTATGTAGGTGTATCATCAGAAATTATGTTGTCAGTTCAGTGTGTTTTCCAAAATTTTTGATGTGTAACCTCTTTTCTCTCGCTTTTCTGCAATGAGCGCGTATGGTACTTGGGTTGGCCGTCAGATGGTAAAAAGTGTAAATCTGTATAAATATTATAAATGTGAAACTTTGTGTATGGATGGTGTATGTATGGATGCTTGTAAGTCTTTCACGCCAGAACGGCTGAACAGATCTGGATGAAATTTGGCACAGAGATAGATTATAGTCTGAAATAACAAATAGGCTACTTTTTATCCCGGAAAAATGTACTGTTCCCTTGGGATAGATAAAAAAAGTTATAACGACAAATAGAAAATTCTTTCTTAAATTTTAACCGATTTTCGCTTATAACTGTGTTATTTTTGGTTCTACGACTAAAAGTTACTTGACCAAAGTTGTAGAAAATTTTACTTGCAACCAAAAATGGTTAAACAAATTTTTCGTGAGACCTATAGTTTGTCAGATAAATCATAAAAACCATTCGTACCCCTTTTTCCAATATGGCGGCCGTGGGATAAGGGCTGCAACCCCACAAACTTGGATTTAACTTTACACTAACCCCTTCTTGATATCTAAAAAATAAAATTGCGTCCTCTGACAAATGCAACCCCAAATGTAACTTTTTAATGGAGTAAATGCCTAGGTCACGTATCGTTCGAACTCGAAGCGCGAACAGTCGATTTGTCATTGTCAATATAATATATATTGACTCTGCGCAATCTTTTTTCCTTGTATACCTAATTAAGTTTTATTTCTTGAGATCGAGGACTAGACTAGCTACTAGACCATACATTTTTAACAGAATTCATATTTTCTACGATGCAATGACGATGTAAAAGACGCATCCAAAAAAAAATAACTTAAGTCAAGCGCGAATGGAATTTGCAAAAAAGGGTTTCATAAAGGAAAAAAACTAGGCCCCATACTGCCCCAACTGGGGCCAGGTGATTGCTGTTTAAAATTATCCATAAATTATTACATTTAGAGCTTTTTAAGTAGAATTTTTCGAAGGACAAAGCATTAGCCAACCTAGTAAAATCTTTTTTTAAGTTTTATATACATAATTTTTAACTTATATTTTACACTAGCGATTCACCACCCTCGCTCCGCTCGGGTTCGTCCCCAGTTTTAACGTTTAGTATAGATTTTTCAGAGATGAAATATTTTCGCGCAGTAAAAAAATATGCTATATGTTGACCCGGAAAACCAGCTATCATCATACGATGCGTTCCCAGACAGACAGACAGACAAAAATTCTAAAAACTATAGATTCGATCTTGTATCGATAATAATGATTATTTCAATAAGATTTCCAAAAAATATTTAATGTACAGATTCGACTCAAAATTTTATTATACGTATAAATTTTGAGAAATGACACTTCATTGCCCGATAAATTATTAACATTACGTAATTAGGTGATAAATAAACTGGGTTCATTATACACCTACTAGACATGTAATTTTTTATTGAACTACGTAAACGTGCGCGTCATGTATGTCTGACGACTGTAAAAAATAACCTTCTTATTAGAAGACGTATCTAATTAAAATGTGAATCTATACAAATAAATAAATTCGATGTGTCTGTTTGTAATGTCACTATAACAACTTTTTACCAAATAGTTTCTTAAGTAGTTCAAAAAGTTGTTATTTGGTACTTATAAGAAAAATACAATTTTCTAAATTTTATTTGTCTGTCTGTTTGATCCGACTAATCTCCGAAACGGCTAAATCGATTTTGACGGGATTTTAGAAAAAGAATTCAGGTTTCACGCGAAAAATAAAAACCCATGAAATTGTAAACGAATTCCGCGTACCCGAGTTATTAAATATAATTATTTGAGACTAAAAAAAACCATTCACCTTAAATATGTAGAAAACTGTTGTCTACCATATATTCTAATAAGAATGTATTCTTATCAGGGTTGGTGCCGTAATATGCAGAAATAAAAAAGATATTTATTCTAATTTGTTTTATAACTCATCATTAAGAGTATTCTATACTAAAATAAAGACATAATTGTCATATAGCATAAAAATAAAACGCCAATGAACAAAAGAATTAAATTTACTGAATGCATTTGGAAATATATAGGGTATTATAACAAAAAAAATCTGTCTGTCTATTTTTTCCGGCTAATCTCTGAAAGGGTTGGACCGATTTTGAACGGACTTTGACGATTATAACGGAATTCTGGGAGATAGTTTCCATATGCTATAAGGAGTAATTAAGGCTACTTTCAATTTAGAAAATGAATTAGGGTTCCGTTTAAAAAAACGTACCTAGGGATGCACCCGAAGCAAAGCCAGAGTTAGTAGTCAATAAGACAAGATACAGCTTATTCGAGTTTCTAGCAGAGGTGAACACAAGAGTAGTAGATACGGAGTTCAATGTTCAAGCAACAGTAATTCAGAAGGTAATTAAAATCAGTGTACAAAAAGTGTTAACAGTAATTAATTACTTAGTTAAACTTAACTGCCTGGATGGTGTGGTGGCTAGCATGTACGGCTGCACATCCGGAGGTCCTGGGTTCGAGTCCCGGGTCGGGCCAAGTTTAGTTATTGAGTCTTTCTGTTAAGGAATTCACAGTAACCACCCGGAGTTGGAAAGTTGGCGGTGTTTCACATCCAAGCCTCGGAGAGCACGTAAACATTGGGGTAGTTGCGTAGCGCATAACCCCCCCTTTCCGATGACAGCCGTAATTTATATTTTCGGCTGCCTACAACAAAACATAACACATAACATAATATATAAAATAATGAAAAAAATCAACTGACTTAATTTTAATTACCTTAAAAGGGCGAAATACTAAAATGAATCTCTAATCTTTATCAAATAAAGGTGTCAACTTAAGTAAATATTCTGTTATGTCTACTAAGAAGGATGAATATTTCTACTCTCATAGTTATGGGTAAAACACTTCCATTTTGTAGTGTAAGAAAAATGTAATGAAATAAACAAACAATCATTTTTAGAGAGGTTTCTGACATCTTGTTAATGAACATGTAATCCATATTACATTCTTCCATATGGTTTTATAGGTAAGCAATAAAAATATCCAATAAAAAGAGAATAAAAAAAGAATATTAGTAGCATTTAATAATAATTAATATCTCCTACTCGAATATTTTAAATATCGATTACTTTGAACATAATATGTCAATTCGATTCAAGTGTCACAACTCACAACACTAAGTCTAAAGTTTATTTGATAAGTCAACAGGAAATTTAGGACGTCTAACGTCAATCCAGTTAACAACAAAGCAGGATATCAAACTAATAAATAATTTGTAATAAAATTGTTTTACTAAATATAAATAGGATAATGGAGATTCTAATGAATTATTATTAATTTTTTAATTATTGAAATAGTTAACATAGAAAAGTTAGTGATAAAGTTTTTTAAAGTGACAGTTTTATAATCATATTGTTAGTTTTTTGTTTCCAAAGTTTTTAATAAGTGGAAAAATTATAATGACTTTATTAGAAAAAGAATGGTTCATACAAGCTCCGTGGGGACGGCTATGTAGTGAGTGCAATCAAAATACTTTTATTTTTTCAATTACTAATGTTGTTTATCTATTTTCCTTGAACCTTTAATTTTTATTATGAATAAATTATATGCGTATTTTATGTAAATTGCTTGAGCTTACTTAAATTAAGTTAGTGATAATCTTCTAATATTTAAAATTCTACTTGCAATTGTAACTATTAAAGCTTATATTATTATATAAACATATAAAAAAAATTACATAAGTAAATATTACAATATAATCAAATTTAAAATTATGAACCTTATTATATACTTAATTATAGAAATATTTATCTTATTTTTAATGGCATATCATAATAATTATATGCCATAACATTATTAAATAAAGTAAAACATACAAGTGATAAATTAAAAATTTAAAAAACCCCTGACCAATTTAGACCGATTTTAATCAAACAGCTAAGAACACTCCCAACTAATTCGCCTTTCAAACAAAACTAAATCAAAATCGTTTCTTTTGTTCAGGAGCTATGATGCCACAGACAGACACAAAAACACACAGACACATCAAACTTATAACACCCCATCGTTTTTGCGTCGGGGGTTAAAACCCTGATCAATATCATTTATAACTCAAATTATAATTTAAATAAAAAATAATTGAACAATAACACAAAATAAAAGTTTTTTTAATATTTCTAATTTCAGTTATAGCATGGGGTGATTGTTGTGATCCACCAGTCCTTGTTTGTCATGGGACCAATGATTCTGCAGTCAGTTTTAGGCCCTTAATAAAATTATTGCCGAGAAAGTTTTATTATATTGGTAAGTTATTATTATTAATACTCATATTTTAAAAAGCAGTTTTAACTTTTAATGTAATTTCTTTTTGATTAAGAAAATAATTATTGAAAAGTGCAAAAACAGTTGGGAAATTCAAAGTAGTTGAAACGCAATGCCATTGGTCAGAGCAAATGTGACGTCAAAGTTTATTATAATAGAGCAATTGTTTGGTGTTTGCAATAGGAATTAACAATCCAGATCTGTTCATTTGTTAGTTACAATGTTGTCATAGAATGTGACATCACGTCATGTACGCCAAAATAGTGTATATTTTTTATTATTTTTTTTAATATTTTTTTTTAGGCTGGATAATTTTTTTCCTATTATATAACTATTTAAGCTATTGTATAAAAACACGCATATTCGCTATTATTAAGCATCATCATTATTTTTTTAATCTATGCTCCTGCTTGTTTAATGGGTTACTTAAGTATGGTCCTCCATTTGTAATAATTTTTTTTAATATAGGTTTAGAGTTACCTGGCTGCGGTAAGTCAGATCCAATGCCATCGGGTCTCATGATCAGTGTATATGACTTAGTATACAGTTTACAAACTGTTGTCAAGCATTTTAGATGGGTAAATTTTGTTTATATTGGACACTCTATGGGATGTAGCCTTGGTATGTATAATTCTACTTACTTCCTTTTCGTTCCTTTTAAATTTTCATTTTACAGGATTAAAAATGTTTATGTGCTAGCCAGTTATTAAAATATAACATTGTGCTTAATTTTTATAAAAAAATATATATTTTATACTGATTACTATGGAATAGATACACTATATATTAGTATAGATATTAGATACGATGAGTTTTATATCCCTTACTTGAGAAAAGATGGGATCATTTCCATACAAACTTTCACCCCCTTAAGGGATGATTTCCCCGATAAAAACTATTCTATGTCCTTCTCAGGGTTTCGAACTATCTTCATATTAAATTTCATCTAAATCGGTTCAGCGGATTTTTAGTTTAACCATTACAAACAAAAATATTTTTTTTTCTCTTTATTTTACTACAGATACACTTTGTTGGAAATACAGGAATTATAGAGATAGAGAACTTAAGTAAACACTCAAGAAAAAGAGTAATAAGTTAATTAAAACTGTTTTCAGATTAATTTAATGGCAACACTTTTATTATTATTCTTTAAGTTTGCAGCAATACTTGCTTGTACAAATTCGGTACAAATCACTTTTGTGAAAGTTTGTGCTTATTATATTTGAATCTACTATTTTATATTATACTTAAATCTTTTATTTAAAAAATCAATTAGGACATACTCTATTCAAAAAAATTTGATTTGACTCTTTAATAAATATTTTTTCGTTTGTTATATAACATAACATTGGCTTTGAGATAAACAAGATATGGTTTGATAATGATAATAATGTATGGATTGATAGTTAAAAAAAATAAACGCGTGTATGTACTTATGTATGCACGTAAGAAGTTATACTTCTTCGACGTAACAGAACAAAAATAGCTAAAGACTTCATCTCGTATGTCACAACTCTCTGTTTGTAAAAGGAATGCAGCTAGCTAACTTCATCATGTCGCTTTTGGCTGTCGGTGTGCGCACGCATCATAAAAATTTTAGTCTCATAATTTATTCCAAACGTGCCAAAAGAAGTATAACTTCAAAAATAGTAATAACTTTCGAATTTCAGGTAAAACATATGAACTGTCGTACCCCGGTAAGATAAGTAAATTAATTGAATTGGACCCGGTTACTTTCAACATAAATATTCCTCCGGAGAAGTTTACCCTGTGGTGAGAATAATTTGCTTAAAAATGATACAATTTAAAAAAATTATAAATAGGTCTCATTTTTTTATTACATACACAGTAATTTAATATTAACTGGATGAGCTCCAAAGAAGAATTGTTTTTTTTTTTTATATATTTTATGTTTCGCAATAATATAAAATAAAATGAAATTGTATAAAAACTTGTTTCTATTATTGACTGATGGTGGAAAATATAAAATAAAAGTTTTTTTTTCAGGTATAATAAATCGTTCACCAATTTTTTCGATAAATATACGAAATATAATAATGACAAGCCGAAGTATACAAAAAAAGAGGTTAGTATTTGATTTTAATAATGTTGAATTAGATTCTTATAAAAGTGTTATTTTAAATATATAGATTTGGACCTACGTGTTTGAAGTTGAGGAAACATTTAGATAAAATATATAGTAAAATAAACTGATATTTTTTTTTAATAAAAATAATATGAAATTTCATTCAAATTGGTTCAGTGGTTTAGGCGTGAAAACGTAACAGACAGACATACAAAGTTACTTGCGCATTTATACTATTAGTTTGGATAAAGTGAATCTAGACACTAAATTCTATCGCTAATAGAAAGCTACGATGATTTATGTAGGCTATTTTATTCAACGCGAGTGTTGTCGCGTACCAAAACCAGTAAAAAAATATTTTTTTCCAATAATATTTTAAAGGCCTTATCAAAAGTAATGAATCGTCGTGGAATATCGAGGGAAATCGCGGAAGCATTACTGGAAAGAGTGACAGAGACCACCGATGATGGACTTTTACGGTATGTATTCAGCCCTTTTTAACCCCTTCAATACGAGGGGGATCGGCTAAGTGTGGGCGGACAGTATGTCTTTCGAAAACTTGCTAGGTTCTCTCCGACATGCAGGTTTCCTCACGGTGTTTTCCTTCACCGTAAGACAAGTGGTAATCATGTTGAAAATAATTCGCACATGAAAATATCAGAGGGGCGAGACCCGGGATTTGAACCTGCTTGACTCGGTTACTCAAGCGAGCGCGTTACCACTGGGCTAACAATGCCTATAGACTTTTACGGTATATCCTTATACTCGTATATAAAATTTCGGAGTGCGTTTTTTCATAATTTTTCTAAAGGGCTAAACCGATTTTGATGATTTTTTGTACTTATAGGGTCACCTAGATGGTTGTTAGGGTTAGCTTTAGTTGGACCCGGTAGGCAATTATGTTGAGATTTAGAATGATTTTTTTAATCACAAAAAATGATATTTGGACAGGTCAATGTCTGCTGGGTCTAAAAGCTAAAGCTAGCTTCTAAATAATATATCGACCTGCCAGGAAAAATATTGTAACTCAGTATTTGGTAATTTAGATTAAATTAGAACAGTAATTTAAGATTTAATTTTCAAATTAACTAAAATTAAGATACAATGTTGTTCCATGCAGACGGAGATTGAAGATATGTTGCTGTAATAGATCTTTCAAGTAAAACCTAAAATTTGCCAATTGCCCAATTTTTTCAAAGAATTATTTATTTCGGTTTTATCTCTAGCTTTTTTGGATAGTTTTTTGGCCTGTGAAACAATTTTAATTCAGGTTGTTTTTTTTTCAAAGTCACAAAACCCAAATTACATATTATTACTTTAAAAACTCCCACTCCATAAACATATATTAAAAAAATGTTATAATACAATTTTAATTCTTCTGAGAATCGAACCCGTGATTTCTTTGAGCATTTTGTTATTAATAAAATTGGCGTAATGGAGTGTCAAACAAAAATTAGTAGATCGATCTCAAAAGAATACTTTTCTTATTGTTTTATATAAAAAATAAAATAAAAAAAAACCAAGCAACTGTGTAAAAAGACACAAATGTTTTCATTATTTTTTATATATATTTTTTTATTATTACCTATTTGGATTTTTTCAATTTTTTTTTTACTGTCCTTAGTCGTTATAGTTTTTTTTTGTAATTGATAATTAACTAGCTTTTAGTAAATAATATTTTTTTACAGATTTTCTTTTGACGAAAGATATTTGTCGGTGCCTGTTCCACCGTTTTCGAAGGAATATGTAAAATTACTATATACTTCAATTAAAACCCCAACATTAACAATAATAGCAGATGAATCAAAAAACGCGGGAAAATATAATTCGTGCACTTATTTACTAAGTGAGAGCCCTTCTTGTCCTAATTATAGAGTGAGAGAAGTCGCAGGAAACCATGATGTACATATTGTTCACCCGGAGAGAGTTGCACCATTTTTGGGTCAGTTTCTCTTAGACGGTCTAAACGGTTTGGATAATAGAGCAAAGTTATAGTGTTTTTTCTTTTCTTTTTGTTTCTTTTTTTATTTGTATGTAATGGTGTTTTAAAAAAGTATTGGATTTTTTAGATTTATTTTTATATACAAATATAAATAAAAATAAGTATATTATAAATCATGTTATTTCTTAATACAAAAAATACTTAAAAAATGCATTTATTTTTTCTTTCGTTTTTTTTTTAAATTAGGTAATATCATACTTTTTGTATGCTTTTTTTTAATTGTATAATAATAGGGAAATTTAAATCTAATATGTACTTAAGAAGTACGGTATAATGTAAATATGTATGTATTTATAAAATCTGTTCAAATTTGAAACGACACACTGCACTCTCGGGATTGATATATAATAGTTTTTGTTTGTTTATCATGCTTTTAAGCAACAATCAATCAGATTGACAAACTCAATACTTGCCATATATAAGGTATAGTTTTACCGGGCATAATCGAAGTATTTTTCGATCAACTGGCACTTTTTTAAGCCATTATCAACATAATTGAATTGAATGAGGGCTATAGAGTTTGAATTTTCCACAAGTGGCGCTAAAGTAGAGTGAGGTCTCTGGAAGTGTCAAATGTTCTGTTCGCTGGAACTGCACATGACAATGTGGGCTTATTTTTGAAGTTATACTCCTTTTGGGACGTTTGGAAAAACTTATGAGAGTAAAATTTTTACGATGCGCGCCGCACACCGACAATCAAAAATCGACATGATGAAGTTAGCTGCATTCCTTTTATAAACAGAGAGTTGTGACATACGGGATGAAATCTTTAGCTATTTTTGTTCTGTTACGCCGAAGAAGTATAACTTCTTACGTGCGTACATAAGTACACACACACGTTTCTTTTTATAATCATGATTTTTCTGATTTTTTTAAATTTTTACTTTATGAAGTTTTGTATTGATATAGTTGATATTGCCTTATACATGTGAAATCGAAATTATTTATTGACCAGAAAATGTAATACAGTAAAATTATAAACATACTTAATTATAAATATACAGAATAAATGTAAACTTAATAATAATTACTTTACAAGCATCGATTAAAAAAGTACTAGATACACAATCCCATGCAAAAGTTCTCTTAAAACTGTCACCAATTGTGTGTAAATAATTATTCTTGTTGAAATAAATATACAACAATGTAAATTGAACCTTAAATGCATTACTCAAAAATGTTTTAAAAAAAAAAGTTTTTATTATATAATAATTCTTTGCCTCTGTGTGATTGTAAATTGGTGGGAGTTACTATTGAAATATATATTATTTTATTATAAATTACTGTGTTTTATTGTTTTAAAAAAAATGTTTCGCGTTTTAAAATAGTATAAAGATGACAATTTTATACTGACTGATAATGATAAGTAAATAAATGTTAATAAATAAAAATACCAGACCTTCGATCAACAATAGGTACTACTAATCGAAATAGCTGACGCTTGACGGAATCTATTATAATAATCGAATCGAATCTGTACATTCAATATTTTTGGGAAAATCTAATTAAAATAAACATTATTATCGTCACAGAGGCCAAATCTATAGTTTATAGAATTTTTGTCTGTCTGTCTGGTAAAGAATCACGAGAAAACCATTGGACGGATTTTGATAGTTGGTATCAGTTGGTATGATGATAGCATATTATCCGGGTCACCATATAGGATATTTTTTACTACGGGAAAATATATCATCTCTTAGAAATCTATCTAACCCTCAAAATGTATCTAGGAAGGAACCCCAGCGGAGCGAGGGTGAATCTCTGAATGAGTTTAGAAATAAAAACTTCAAACTATAATATTCCGAAAACGAAGCGAGACATCGAAAATTATATTGTTTTTTTTTCGATTTATTATGACTCGATTTATACAAAAACTATCGTTAAATGGAAACCGTAATCGTATCTCTCTACCAATTTACGGGTAAAGGAAATCATAATTCATTGATTTTATTTTGTACCGTTTAATACTGTGTATTTTTAATCATATCGATACCTCTACATTAAATGGAATCAGTTATCGAGTTACATTAAAAATCGTAAATATTTAAACATCACTATTTGACACTTGACAGTGACAACTGACATTATTAATCACTAACTTTAGTCTGTACTGTATTATTCTATAAAAATAGAAGTTAGAAATGGATTTTAAAGTGTCTAATTTAAGTGGAAAATGTTATTAATATTATTAAATAACAATAAATAAATCGTAAGTATCCAGTTTAAATTTTTTATGACGAAAATTGTAATGAGATTAATTTCAACTTTTTTTACAATCAGCTGTTTCTTAAAGCCGGCATATTGCACTAAATAATAACTTATTCAATTGAAAATATTATAAATATTAATTAAATATTATTTGATGCACAACTTTCATATAAATTCTTTAATATAACTTATCAGGTTAATTCATACAGTAATAATGGAAATTTGAATAATTTTATAATTTCTTTTCAGATGGCATTATTTATGAAACAAGATTTCTCACCACCTATATTATCAAGACGATGGGTTGCACTGAAATTCAGACCTAACATGGTATTTTTATTATTATCCTTTTTTACCTTGTAACTTATATCTAATATACCAAATAACAATGTTAAGCAACAAATTAGAATTTCTTTCAAGAATATCATAAACTGACATAATATCTTTAGCCCTTTTTAATATTCCACTGCTAGGCACTAAACTCCCTTCAATACAAGGAGGAACAGGCCATAGTTCACCATGCTGAACGAGTTCGAGTTTGTGGACTTCACATGTTTTCTTAAAATTTACTAAGACAAGTGGATATCATGTTGGATTGTATTACTAATTTATATTAATAAATCATTCCAGCTCGTGTATAGCAGAGAGCATATCATAGCAATACTAGAAAGTGGTTTGTTATTCCGAGAAGACAGTGTTGAGGTGGAACAGGAAGCACCTGATGCTGAGACTATTTGGAAAAGGGCTGGTGGATGTAAGGGTGGCTGGTTCACCGGTGGCGAGAGAAATATGGCCTTAGCTGCTACACTTGCTTTGGTTGTTGCAGCACCACCTAAAAAGTGAGATATATTTCTTTTCTAAAAGTATAATGAATACAAATAAAATATTACTAAACACATTTAATAAAACAAATACAGTATAATAATTTATACACCTATACTAATATTATAAAGATTAGTAATTTCTGAATCTACTGAACCGATTTAGATGAAATTTGGTAAGAAGATAGTATGAGACCCTGGGAAGGACATAGATACTTTTTTTATTTTTATTAACTAACCCTTCCCTCCCCCTTATCAGCAAAAGTAAGCAATGCTTTTACTCCCCCCTCCTATGCTTATGTAAACATTATAACTCAATTATTTTGGGGAATCCCTGAACGTCCTTTTCGCTTTTGAGCATAGACAAGTATCATGTGTGTTCTGAAAATATTGATTTGACAAATCAACATTATGAAATTTTAATTATTTTTAATAAATAAATATTGCTGAGGTAATCACCATCCAGACCCTCCCGTCCCCCATGTCATCAAAAATAAGCACATTAAAAAGAATTATATTATTAAATGAGCAATCTCGGAGATGACTCTTGATTTGGATGAAATAAGGTTTTGCTTATTAAGTTTTGTATATATGTTTGAAATTATACTTCTTTTGGCGCATTAGGGAAAATATGATGAATAAATTTTTTATACTAACTATACCTTTGTTTACTTCTTTTTAATAATATATCTAAAGATTTTTTTTATTGCAATAAACAAATGTTCTTGTTAAAAAATTACATAATTATTAGTTTTCTTTTTAATTTTTCAGTTTACAACGACTAACTCTATTTAAACTGGCAACATACATGTTATTACCAGCAGTAATACGTGCAACACATAGAATGTATTGCAAGGGATCACTTAAAACATTACTATCATTGATGCGTGATTATATGTCGTTAGTTCGACGCGCTACAGCGTGTTGCCGTGAATATGCCACTTTGCATTCAAAATTGTGAGTATTTTGTTTTATTTGATGTATGGAAAAAATAGTTTTTTTCTTAGTGCTAAAGATATTTCTAAGTTTCTAAGTAATAAAATAAGAATAGTATTTTTCTAAGTGCTAGAGATATTTCTAAGTTTCTAATTAATAAAATAAGTATTTTTCTAAGTACAAGCTTTTTTATATTTTTTGTTAATCTTTTTAAGTAGCGCCATCTATTGACGATTTCATAACTAAATGTCATTAAAATAACTTTAAACTTGAATGAATAACTTTAAACTGAAAAAAAAAGTCACAGAAACATATCAATAGGATAGATAGAAATAGAATATAATGCAAAAAGTATGAATGTGTTAGTTTAGATGTATTGTTATTGCTATATAAAAACATAGATAGGTAACAAATATCTCTACAAAAAGTGGCGTCAACATGTGACGTTAAGTCAAACCAAAGAATGAAATTCAAAAATCAAAAGTTCTAATTGTTTTAAACACAAATTCGAACTTACGCACACCATATAAAGTACCTTTTTAAACGAAACAACGTGCGTTTCAATTTTGTCATCTAAAAAGCAATGAAGAAAAGAGATTTGAAAAAAGCGCATAATTTCAATTGTGCACTTCTTTTAGAGGACACTTTTGAGACGCTAATTGTGGTGTATCTTGAGTTTTTGTATATCAATGATTGTGCAAAGTTTCATCCAAACAAAATAACCTAACATGAAAATCTATACTAATATTATAAAGAGTTAAAGTTTGTGAGCTTGTGACGTTGTAGGGGGTAATCTCTGGAACTACTGAACTGATTTAGATTAAATTTGGTAATAAGATAGTTAGAGGTCCTAGGAAGGATATAGGATGCTTTTTATCCCAGAAATCATCTCTTAAGGGGGGGTGAAAATGGGGATGAAAGTTTGTATGGGGAATCAAAGGACGAAGCGAGGGTGAGTCGCTAGTAAATAATCAAAATTAATATGATTACATATATCCTTATTATATTTTCCACCATTTATCGTCTATTTTGATTGCCGCATATAAGACTAGAAGAGTAAGTCACTAAAATTAAAACTGTAGTCATTAGGGGTACAGTCCATAATTTCATTCTAATAGGGAATATGCGTGTGATTTAAATAAAGGTGATTTTTTTTTATAATGTTTACTGCCTTTGAATTAAGCCTATATCAATATTTTTAAACGTAATTTCTTTTTGATTAAGAAAATAATTATTGCAAAGTGTAAATGTATATGGGAAATTCAAAGTAGTTGAAACGCAACGCCATCGGTCAGACCGAATGTGACGTCAAAGTCTATTATAATTGAGCACTGTCGTTTGGTGTTTGCGATTGACACAAACAATCCAGACCTGTTCACTCGTTGATTGTCATAGACTGTGACGTCACGCCAAAATGGTGGCTGTTTAAAGTATCCGTGCCTGTATGATATTTTTAAATTATTTTTTATACTAAATTTCAGTTTCTTCTAGCTTGATATTTTTTTCCAATTACATAACGATGTAAGCTATTGTATCAAAAAAAAAAACAAAAAACACGTATATTCTCTATTATAAGGCCTAATTTCTTAACTAAACCACTTTATTTTATTCATTGACTGATTCAATCTTTAATTTTTATAAATACAAAAGAGTATAGTAACGTAATCGAACTGAACTGAATTGAATTCTTCACAGAGCATCAGTGTCAACAATAATAGAGTCAACACAAGCAATGCTTTTACAACAACAAACTTCTCTCTTAGTGCTCATGTCTCGAGCCGGTTCTTCTTTACTGGGGAATGTGCCATGGTTGAGAGGTGATGTCATTTGTGAGTTTGACACTGACAATCTATTGGTAAGTAAATGAATGAATGGTTTTAAATAATTTAATTATAATCTATATTTTTATTTAGTTTCCGATTCTTTAATGTCTCACAGCGATCATGGGTCTCAAAAGTTATTATATAGTTTCATCTTTTATTAAATAAAAAAATTGGTGAAATTTTCATTTTGTTATTTGTGGGTAAGCTGTCTGTAACAACTATACCTTCGAGACATCTAACACCTCAGTCTCTCCCGTGACCATGATTGCTGTAAAATGTTCGAAACGTCGGGAACCAAAAATCCAAATAAATCCGCGAAAAAATCCGAAAATATAGTTTTATTTAAAATGTCAAATATTCGCGTAAATCTAAAAAAGTATTATTATATACTTGTTACAGGCGGTGTTCCCAAAAATTACGAGTTGAGAACCAAAAATTAAAATAAAAGACTAAATACTAGGTCACTACATAAGTTTTGTCGTACTTTTTTATTTATTTATTTTTTTCAAAATTATTTCCATTTGCACTAATATATGCTCTCATACGTTCGAACCATGTAATAAATACTTTGCTCTAGAAACCATTTGGAATACTACCGCATGTCTCTTTAAATGCGCCTATAAGCTCTCCATCATTAGAGAACTTACGCCCTTTTAATTGTTTTTGCACATAAGGAAAAAGCGCAAAATCACATAGCGCTAAGTCTGGGCTGTAAGGAGGATGACCTAGTAGTTTCACTCCAACTTCATGCAAATAATCTGCAGTTTTGCCAGCCTGATGTGCGGGAGCGTTGTCCTGATGCAAAAACCAAGTGTTGAGTCTTGAGCTTGGTCGCTCGTTTTTCAACGCTTCTAAAACTCGAGGCAAACATTCTTCTGTGTACCATTTTGCAGTAACAGTCTTCTGTTTATAGAGCAAGATGGTGGATAATTTTCCGCGTTTTGAGAAAAATATTGCTACTATTCTTTTTTTAACTGATCGAGACATTTTGACGGATGTCGGCGGATCTTCATCTTGAAAAACCCACACTTTACTCTGAGATTTAGTTGGGACATCAAAACAGTAAAGCCAAGTTTCGTCACATATAAAGATTGAATTGACGTACTTAGATCGACCGCCACCAAATTTTTTTAACGTCTCATGACGCCAATTCATACGTTGGTCCCTCAGCTCCTCAGTCATCGAATACGGCACCCAGAGTGTTCAGAGTTTCCTAAGTTTTAAATCGTCGTGAAGAATTCGATAAACAGTCGTTGCATTTAAATTTAGGATTTCCTCGATCTGTCGATACTACACATGCTGGTCTTCTTTAAGTAGTTTTGCAATGCCTAGACTTTTTTATCGGTAGTTTTCTCTATTGGCCTACCCGACTTCGAATCGTCCTCCAAGTTAAAATTATCGGGAATTAACTGAATAAACCACATTTCTATAGTCCTTAAAGAAGGACAAGTATGACTTAATGCACCACTCATTTGTTCAAAACATTGTGCTTAGTAAATCCACGCTTAAAATAATACAAAATTATTACACGAACGTCGCGACGAGTAAATTCAGTCATGTATAATTTTCAAAATATTGCAATAAATCTGCAAAGCTACTGTACGTCACAAAACTTGTACTATTATTGTTTATATTAGTTTGCCTTTACGAATCTATCCTTATCTGCACAATACCTTACATATATTTTACGTACGACAAAACTTATGTAGTGACCTACGTATATATATTTTTAGTTTTATTTAAAATGGTTAAATAGAGATTAAAAGTATAATTTTTTTTTATTCAATTTAGGTTTTACTAGTATTCATTGATTTAAAATAAATTCGAAAAAAAGATTCGAAATTATTATATTTAGTATAGTTTTTTTATAGTTTTATTTATGTAAGGTTTACTTGTCAATACAGATGAAAAATATATTTTTAACTGACTTCCATAAAGGTTCTATTTTTGTCTGTGTGTATGTTTTTTAAATGAATTTCAATGAAAATTTATTAAATCTTAAAGGTTTTATGCATTGATGAGTTCTATACTCCTAACTCTATGATCAGGTCAGTTTGGTGTTCCAATTGTTGTGTTGACATATTGATTTCATATAAAGCTTTAATTTATATAAAAGAGAAGCTTAAAGTTTTAAAAAAAACTTATGGTAGATTTATTTGACGACACGTTTAGCTCAGTTTGTACAGTCTGGGAATGCATTATGAGAAAACCACTCAACAGATTTTGATAAAATTTCGTACGATGATAGCTGGTTATCCGGGTCAACATATAGGATACTTTTTATAGCGGAACGGGGGCGACGTTAACATATAATATAATCTTGATCTAATCAAACGTTTCTATTTCAGAAAATCCATCACGCGTTCCTCGTCGTTCAATCGACACTCTTAAAAAATATCGCGCTCGCTCATTCTGTACCAACAGCTCACACGTTAAAATTATACAAAAATCATAATGAACGTGTATATTGGATACACAATGTTCTAATAAATCATCTTATTCTGGAATTCAAAGATAATTTTGAGGCTTTAGAAAGAATGTATAGGTTGTTAAAAAATGTCGGTACTAAAGATGGAGATATTGTAAAAAAACTTGGTTCAGCTATAAACGATACGTGGTTATACTCTGAAGTTCATACTGGGATAGCTCGGTCATGTTTGGAAATGAGGGTAGCATTGGAAAAATGCAATCATTTAGATATGTTTTTGGATTCCTGTGCAACGAACAGACAAAACATCGATTTGGATATATTAGATAAAGATATTGATGAGATAATAGATACAATAACAAAATGTCTATCAACTGTGCAAAACTCGCAGATACGTTTGAAGAAAATGCAAAATAAACTTCAAGTAAATGATGATGTGAAACATGATAGTGACAAGGAGTATGAAGAAAAGAATATATTAAAAATAGAAGATAAAGAACCAGAGATAAGGGATGAAGTTTTTTATTTCGTTAAAACTGAAGACGAGAGTGTAGTTTCTCCGGTTGGTGATGTAGTGACAGGTCCTGGCCGAAAAGAGAAAGAAACGTCAAAAGTTGTTTTGAAAGAGTTAAAAAGAAAATTAGTGAAAAGAGAAGATGTGATGAGAGAAAGAGAGAGACAAGCATTGGCAAAAACAATGCCAGATCTAAAAAACATACCAGAATTTCCGAGGCAGATAAACTACGAAGAATATTTAGATAAAAAAGGTTTTATAACAAAAATTGTTAGGAAGCAGATGAAAAATAGAAAGTTGTTTAAAATATATAAAATAAGTAAACATCAGAAACGAAAATTAGGGAGTTTTAAATTAAAAATAGAGAAATACAAAATGGAAAGCGATTTACCAATAGCATTTTACGAAGCCAATGCAAAATTCGATGCGAAAAGTAAATTTTTGACGGTAAACAAAGTTAAAGGCAAATATATAATAACAAAATGGCAGAAATATGTTAAAATACCAAAGAATGATTCAGAATTCAGTGATTTTTCTGATACTTTAAGCGACGTAGATAATAAAATACCAAACATCGAAACAAGTAACCTAAAACAAGCGAATGAAGTTAAAAACTTTAAATTTTCAAAAAAAGATCTCGAACTTTCTCCTTCATCTTCGGATAGTGAATTTGATCAATATGAGAAATCAGCACTTTTAAATGACGTGAGAAGATATAGGGCGGTTAGGAAGAAGAACTTTCCAAAACGGCAAACAATAGATAATGTAGATGAAAGTCTCAAACCCATAGAGTATAGTTTTGGCACGGGATTGGCAATGGCGTCGGTTTTGCAAATAAATAGTAATGCCAAAATATCAAATATGGTGCAAGAAGAAGTTTTCATTGGCAATGGTGAAGTTTCAACAGATAGTGGAAATGATGAAGATGCTTGAAATAATAGCTTATTTTGAAATTTGGTCATTTTTTTTATTAGAATTTTTTTTTAATTTAAAATAAAAATACACTAAATAGCCTCTGATCTTATCCAGGATATAAGCTATCTCCACATTAAATTTTAATCAAAATCCAATTGGTCATTAGTTATCTGCACTATAATTAAATAAATAAAAGTTTATCTGCTCAAAATAAAAAAAAAATAATGAGTGCGTGTAACCTTTACGCGCGTTTGAAGAAAAACTTCTTTGGCAAATATCGCGATTAAAATAAAACGATTATAATTATATAGGGCATATTAGGTATACTATTATCATATATTTATTGAATATAATGTACGGAAAGAATATAATATTACATACTTGTCAGTCAATAACAACGGTTACCATGGCAACATGGCAGTGCATGCTATCTCATTCTCTCGCCGACTTAATTCTATATATTTATGTGTTTGTCTCTTTTTAGTGTTGCATTTTTGTTTTATCGAGTTCCAAATCACAACGATTCTAAAGAAGTAAAAAAAAATTGATTAGTACATTTAATAAGTTATTATGTAATTTTAATTCGGGAAATTTTTTATTTGTTGTAGTTGAATTTGCAAATATAGTTAGATTTGCGTGAATATTAATTTTATCCGTACTTTTTCCATTACTATTAAAATTTAAACATAATAAATTGAATAGCTTACGTCATTAATTCCCGGACACAATTACTCTAAAAAACACTTTGTTTTTAGTTAATAAAACTCTATTTATTATCAATTAACTGAAATTTTATAATAATAAGTGACGTCACAGGTCGCTGTTGCCATACAAAATGAATGGAGGAATCGCGTTCTGACAGCTCATAATAAGGATATCGATTGGTGGTGGTAATTAACCAATAAAAAGTATTAAATTGTTTGAAATAATAAAATAAATTTATTAATATTTTATTTTAATTGTTTGTTTTTTAATTTTTTGTAAATTGTAGACCAAAATAGTTGGCGTCATATTTATTTTAAATAAATATCCATCTCTTGGATGGAATCTAATTAAATCTGGAATAAATTGCTCTTAAAATTGTTTTTTTTTTTAATAATATTTAATGAACATAAACTTAAGTAATAATAATTTATTTGTAAAAGAATATAAGTTATTAATCAATATTATGAAGGCGCTAAATACTAAATAAAAATTTTAATTTATACATGTATTTATTTTCCATTTTCCCTTTTCCACTGTGTTACTCGTAAGAACTAGTCCAAATAAATTTAGTAAAATTTGGCATGGTGATGCCTCCTTATATTGCCGATCAAACAACAGGTTACTTTTCATCCCAGAAAAATAACGGTTCCCGTGGGATAGATCTGTTTGTGCTTTTTTAGAGGTGAACCCGAGCGAAGCGAGGGTGAGCCGCTAGTTGTATATAAAATAATAAAAGGAAATATTTGAATCTAAAACGCAAAGGTTGAGAATCTCAAAAGCGTTATATTTATTTGAAAGGGAAAAGATCGGATGATTATATAAAAAAAAAAACTGCCACCAATATTTTAAATATATTTTTTCCCAATTATTATTGCTTTTAAAAAAAAACTCTATTAAGATCGGACATATTACTTTCATGAATCTTAAAATTCGAGGATTATTGTTCGTTGTACAAGATAGTCCGTGCTTGCCCCATTTAGGTTCGTTCTTTACCTGACCTTTCCAATTTTACACCTTCACTTTAATCAAGTATAAAACTATAATTATTATATTTAAAGAAATAAAAAATACACATATAAAAATATGTCTATTTTTAAACTGCCTCGGTGGTGTAGTGGCTAGCATGTACGGCTGCACACTCGGAGGTCCTGGGTTCGAGTCCCGGGTCGGACCAAGTTTAGTTATTGAGTCTTTCTGAGAGTGATAGGAATAGAGAGTGCACCTGTGTCTGCGCGTACACTTGTGCACTATAATATCTCCTGCCCAGTTGACTCGTCTCAAAGTCAATGAGATTGGCCGCCGTGGCCGGAATTGGTCATGAGAACATCGTCATCATTTTTAAACAACTTATAAAATATATTATTGTAATAACTGAACTACTCATCTGCCACTAAAAAGTTTCCCGTTACCATTCTAACTTATCGAAAAATAGTCCGACCTTACCCCAAAGCACCATATGTAAAAAGTTTTTTTCTAATTCGAAAGATGTTCACAGCTAGACATAGGCCCCTCTCACAGACATGCAACACAACCGGTTTTGACCTTGTATATTCCAGCATCACGAGTTGCATTCGAGAAGCACGAAAATAACTTCCGATTGGTCTTAAGGATTCATGCCTTTAGAAGTTCGGCCATAATTCCATCTACACCCGTACCAAGAGTCACACTAGTCTCGTAATGTGTTAGTTTGCCACTTGAATTGTCCCCCAGACTGACGGATTGTTACATTGATATAAATAGCTGTCTATAATATCTCATGATTTTCCCTCACAAGTTAAGGAGTAGAAGATATTTTCTGCCGTTTTAAGCTTCAGCAACTGGCTTTGACCGATATCGAGATATTTTTTTTTACAAAAATGTTGAAGCCTTTGTTACGCTCAACTGCATCTTTAATACGCTCAGTATTTATTATTTAAGCTGCGGAAGTGTTGAAATCTTGTCTTAAGGACTTCTGAGATATGTCTTTTAAGTTTTCATTGCCGGAACTTGCATCCGACGATTTGTAAGTATATCCCACTCCTTTCCGATATGAGCTCGAGAGTAGCATCAGAATTTTTTTGGGTCTATTTTTATGGCGTCCACTTCGCTTTCTAAGCAATTGAAGAGGTTTTGGAGTTCCAGCTGAAACCTCTCGGAGTTTTTAATTTATATGTTGCGCTTGTCGGAACGTGGTCCTAAGTTGAGAAAATACAACTTTTACACATATTCAATGTACTTCTTACCGGTCGGCGATATCTTTCGCTTTTTATGGCATCGATTACAGATACATTATGGAATTATTGCTTTTTCTATGACTAGATGAAGTCTATCTCGTTTCTGGTTACACCATCATTTCCTTTGGGTTTTTTCTTTTATAAGAAATTCATCATAAAGAGTCCCTCTTCTCTCCCTCTGAGAAACGCAAGTAAACATCCCCGCAAATTTTGACAAAAAAGTCCAAAAAGGCCCACTATCATCTCACCACCTTTTTGTTTGCATAATTTCGTGTTGAAGTCTCATATGACAACGGTGAAGTCAATTTTGGAGCTTTGCATGGCTCTACTAATATCTACATACATAGCATCCACCTCCTCATCAGGGTGTGCTGAGATCGTTGATGTGGACGATTTGAAATTTTAAAGAGTAACGTTTGATTATTCGTAGAACAAGGTACGCTGCCATTATTGATCGGCTTCCGATATCACCACTTTGTTCAGAAGAGACTCGTGGTCGATAAATCTGATCACATCCTGGTTTTGTTGGTCGCCCTCCCGGAAATAGAGCAGATTGCCAGATTTCAACGTTATCGAATCCTCCCCCACTCTTCGGACTTCTGACAATTCCACTATTAGACTTCTGACGTCCCATCACAACTTGCTCAATTCTTACTCAAGATAGCCAGGTACGAGTTACCAGGTCGAGTCATCGTTTGTTGTAGCCCGATCACATCCAAAGATTCTTCGCATTTCCTGCCCCACCTACCTAAATCTATTTTTATCTATGCCGCTACCATGACCAGGAATAAATAGGGCTGGTTGGCCATTTTGAAGGAATGTAGAATGTAACTTACCTATGCCTTTTTCCAACGATTTTTGATACGTTTAAATTAAACGCTTTAAAGAAAATTGTATTATAAATTAATAATTTTACGCCTACCCGTGAAATCGATTGATTTTATTTTTTATGATGAATTATTTTTTGATAACAACTTACAAATAACTTAATTGTTTAGCGAATATAAATATCAAATGAATATATCAAAATATCACTGTGTACTGAGCTTGCTGTACGAAATACATTAAATATTTTGTGTCGTGGTAAGTTTTGATTCAAACTTACGTTAAATTCGTCAATATATATCTTAAATGAAAAAAAATATGATAAAAGGCAGTGGTAGCCCAGTGGTAACGCGCTCGCTTGGGACACCGAGCGAAGCGGGTTCAAATCCCGGGTCTCGCACCTCTGATATTTTCATGTGCGAATCATTTCTAACATGATTACCGCTTGCCTTACGGTGAAGGAAAACATCGTGAGGAAAACTGCATGTCTGAGAGAACCTAGCAACTTTTCGAGAGACATGTGAAGTCCGCCAACCCGCACTTGGCCAGCGTGGTGGACTATGGCCTGATCCCCCTCGTATTGAAGTGAGGCCCGTGCCCAGCAGTGTACATTAAAAAAAAAGGGCAGAATACACACACATATCTAAAATAAGACAAACACGAATTGCATTATATCATTGACTAGTGACTCACCGTCGCTTCGCTCGGGTTCGTCCCTAGGTCCATTTCCCATATAAACTTTCATCCCCTTAAAGGATGATTTCCATAAAAAATATCCTATGCCCTTTCCAGGGTCTCAGACTATCTTTTTACCAAATTTTTATCAAATCTAAATCGGTTCAGTTGATCCAGAGATTACCCCCTACAACATCACAAATTTTATCTCCTAATAATATTAGTATAGATTTTCGTGGCAAAACGATTGAATAGATTTTGATGAATTTGCAATTAGAGTGGGTCCAAATATTAAAATTGGATCTAACCTAACTTTTCCATAGGTAATATGTGAGGAAATAATGGTATATATATATATATATATACATATAGGTAAGATATATATCTTATGTGTTTATTATGATATGTGATATATATCACAACCATTTTACTCGAAAACTGTTGGTCTTAAAATGGTAATTTGTAAGGTATCTATCTTCCTTAAAAACTTTATTTTTCTTTATTATTAAACTTTCCTTAAAAAGTTAGATTGGCACTTTAAGACTTTAAAAATTAAAAGCATATATTTTTTTTAGAAACATCTTTTAAAATTGCATGTATAGAAATTTGACTTTTTATTATTTTTCGTGATTAGAACAAAGCTAGTAAAACAGTATAGCTTACCTATATCAATTCGTTAGAAACCCATGGGATTTTAGTAATTCAATAGATTACCCAAGTAGCAAAATAGTCTTGGCCAAAGTAATATATTATAAGAAGAAAAGCTTTAGAAAAGGTTTATAAGTGTCCTTATTAAGAAGGGACCTCTTATAGAGGCATGTATAAAGACGTCTTGAACTATAAGATATAAACTTATAGCGAAGGCTTACAGATATATATATATATATATATATATATATATATATATATATATATATATATAACTAATCTACTTTACCTACTTACCTATGTTACAATTTGCTATTTAAAATCTTTATATATTACAATTTAATGTCACCAGCCGAATTGGGTTTGTGAGTTTGTAAAAATTTTAAAAACTTATTATATATAAATAAAACTGTTTGAAGATTATAACCCGAGTGTATACAGATACTCTCGGGGAATATGTCGCCATTTTGCTCTCGCACCGGTCCGAGAGACTCGCGACGCTAACCTTAGACAGGTTGGTGTCGGTTTGTGCTTTAGTGCATTAACTTCACATACCCTGGACACTTCACGCTAAATTCCACTTATCCCTGGACTCTCACACCCTGGGCCACACACTAGCTCCCACACACCCTATACACCCCATTCACATACCATCAATCCCACAACCCACAGTATCTGATATACCTTTGACACGACCCGACACCCACACCCTGAACTTACACCATCTCCCCACATACCCTGGACACCTCGGTCTTTCAGACTCAGACATTCCCATACCATCTCTCCATAAATTCCCATGAAAAAAAAATTATGTGCTAAAGGCTATTTATACAATAAATGAATTTACAGAAGATGGCACGCCTTGGGAATGAAATGATCGCCTCCAGTCTACTTCAACTTGATAGAAATATTGTAAATTATAGTTTAACTTAAAAAAAAAAAGATAATGAGTTAATTTTAGTCCCGCTGAGTTTCTTTCGCTAGTTCTTTTCAGGTCTGAGGCTTCTTCTTTCCGAACTGGTAGTAGACTCATGACGTTCAGTAAAAGAATGTAATTATTTAATGCTGTATAAAACATTTTGAATTTGAATTTATACCCTGGCCACCCCAGTCATTCATCCCCAGCCCCCACATACCATGGAAGCCCCGGTATCTCTTCCCTTACCGTACCTTGGGCATCCTGGTCATCCCCCCCACAAGCAGCACCTCCCCCACGTCGGTGCGCGCCACCTCAGCGTCCTGCAGCGCGCGCTGGCATGGCGCCACCGTGCGCTTGATCAGGTCACCCACTAAAGACTCCAGTTTGGACCGAGTCATCTGAAAATTTTGTCTGATAATTTGTCCAGTTTACCATGGAACTTGATGGTGCTGTGTGTTAATGTCTCAAAAAAATATGAAACGCAATTAGTAAAAAGATTAAAATAAGAAAATACCTTATACTTTTCAGTGTTTTCTTCATCGTGTGTGGATTGGTGAGAGAAGGGCAACCTCAGGCATTTGGTAGTATATTGTTTTGTTGGCATTCATAAAATCTTTGATAAAGATTTTGTAAATATAGTTTAACGTTTAGTATGGATTTCTCAGAGATGAGATATTTTCCGACTGTAAAAAGTATCCTATATGTTGACCCGGTTAACCAGCTATCATCATACCAAATTTCATCAAAATCCCTCCAGTGGTTTTTATGTGATGCGGTCAAAGACAGAAAGATAGACAGATAGACAAAAAATCTAAAAACTATAGATTCGGCCTTTGTATCGATAATAATGACAATTTCAATAAGATTTTTGAAAAAATATTTAATGTACAGATTCGACTCTGTTAGAATTTTATTATATGTTTAGATGGTACATTCTATACATATATGTAAATAAAAATTAAATACTGTTCGTTAATCAGTGTATCATTCAAGAACGACTGGACCGATTTGGTTTTTTTTAAATGGGCATATAATAGGCCGAAGGCTAGTAAATTACCTGAATTTTAAAAAAAATCTGAAAAATTGACTGAGAATTTACAACATTCGGGAAAAGCAGAAAGTGCCTCCTTCTTTAGGACTTGTATGAAGTCATAGATTACAGATTTTTGAAATTGGGTCAAATAACAAAACAACGTCTGTCGGTAAGTAAATAAATTTAACTAGGATCTGCGCAGTGGTCAACCATAATATTTTCTTTACTGTACTGAACTGTTTTGTATATAAAAACAAATGTGTGTGTATGTACGCACGTAAGAAGTTATCTTCTTTGGCGTAACAGAACAAAAATAGCTAAAGATTTCATCCCGTGTGTCACAACTCTCTGTTTGTAAAAGGAATGATAAATTAATAAAAATAAATATATTTTTTTACCTCCATTGATATTAAACACGTGTTATAGATTTATGAATATTTGAGAAACTATGTAGGTACTTTGAATATAGTTATGAGTTTTCACGGGAATCGGAGAGACAGTTATCAGCTAATTTCATCATGTCGCGTTGTGGCTGTCGGTGTCGCATCGTAAAAATTTTACTCTCATAATTTTTTCCAAATGTGCCAAAAGAAGTGTATCTTCAAAAAACCGTTAACAAACTTTTTTTATTGACAACACTAAAGCTCGTCAATAGCTACTAAACATAATTATATATTAAAAATTAAAAAAACCCCTACGCAAATTAATTGTCACTTAACAATTACACTGGCACGCGTGACACACTTAATCGAGTAATCATACGCCAAAATGCCTTACCTCATTTTGGAAGAGAGCTGATACTCTTACACCGCTGGACCGATATTAACCAAACATAACTAAGAACCACCGCAAGGAAACTTTCTTTCAAGTGAAAAAAACCGCATCGAAATCTGTCCATCCGTTTGAGAGCTACGATGTCACAGACAGACACACACACACACAGACAGACATCGACGTCAAACTTGTAACACCCCTCTTTTAGTGTCGGGGGTTAAAAAAGACAATCGGATGACAAACAGAGTAGAAGAGGGCACTCAACTGTTTCAGGAAAGTATTTACGTACTACTTACTTAGGTACTATTTAGCGTGAGGAAGAAGAAAGAGCAGAAGATAAAAAAACAAAATTTTAGTAATGCATGTTTAACTTTCGTCATATTAATAAAATAATTATTATAAATCCATTGTATTACAAAAAAAAAACATTTTTCCGTTTTTTTTTAAACTAGTGCTTACCCCTTAGGTAAGTTTTAATTTTTTTGAGCGGGACCTTAATTCTTTTTCTAAAATAATAGTAGCCTAAGTTATTCCTTATAACATCACCTATCTGCCAGTGAAAATCCCGTCAAAATCAGTCCAGCCGTTTCGATGATTAGCCGGAACAAACAAACAAACAGACAAAAATTAAAAAAAAACTGTGTTTTTTTTCTTATAAGTACCGTATATAATTTCATATGCATTTAGTATAAAGCTTAATTTTGACATTATAAACAGACACTCCAATTTTATTAATCTGTATAGATAGATATAATACCTAAGTATTTAAATAAATAATATTTTAAGCTTACCTAGATTTTTTTTGTAGTTAATGATGTAGCAGAGAGATACAAGAAAAAAAAAACAAATTTTATACAGGGTGGAAGAAATCGATAGGACGATGAAGAAAGTCCCTTGAATTTTGAAGTTATCAAGATTTACTCAAAGGAAACATTTCTTTATTTTAAAAAATAATAATAACTGCATTTAATTTAAAAAAAAAAAGCTTCTACGAGCCGGGAATCGAACCAAATAAAAATGCAAAAAAAAAAAAAACACCGTCACTATTTTATCGAATTAATCGATATCGTCTATGGGAAGAATAAAATCTCTCGAACAAACATTAGGTACATTGCGTCTTAGAATTGAAGAAAACGATAAAATCTTACATCTTACAAATTATACATATCGACTCCAACATCGTGGATTTGTTCCATCGTGGATTTGTTGCATCCTGTAGAGTAAATGTGCTAATAAACCAAATAATTATATATTTTATGTTTTTTAATGTTAGGAAAACCGTGCTTCACTACCTATAACTTGAAAGGAGTTTGCAAATTAAGGATGTACTGCGCCATCGAAGATACACGAGAATTGTTAAATAATCCAAACAAAGGGTAATCTATCCATAGCTATCTATAGTTTCTATACTACTCTGTGTTGGAGTGGCTAGCATGTAAGTACGACTGCACATCCGGAGGCCTTGGGTTCGAGGTCAGAATGCCTAGATGATTTCCGGGATAAAAAGTATCATATGTATGCCCTTTCCAGGGCCTCAAACTATCTTCTTACTAATTTTCATCTAAATCTGTGCAGTAGATACAAAGATTACGCCTTACTACCTGACAAACTCAGAAACTTTATCTCTTTATAATATTAGTATAGGCAAATGTGTAGTATAGTGTGATATAACAACATAAATATTAAAAAATAAAAAACCCCTACGCAAATTAATTGTTATTTAACGATTAAACTGGCACGCGTGAAGCACTTAAACGAGTAATCATACGCCACAATGCCTTACATCATTTTGGAAAAGAGCTGATACTCTTACACTGCTGGACCGATATTAACCAAACATAGCTAAGAACCACCGCAAGGAAACTGGCTTTAAAATGAAAAAAAAACCGCATTGAAATCGGTTTCTCCATTTGAGAGCTACGATGCCACAGACAGACACACACACAGACAGACAGACAGATAGACAGACATCGACGTCAAACTTATTACACCCCTCTTTTTGCGTCGGAAGTTATGATTATTAATATTTTAATAATTTATTTAATTTTCAGGCAGTGTTTGGGCAATGACGAAGTGTGCTGCCCCGTAGATAAAGTTGAATTCCCTCTCGAACATGAATCTGGAGAGGAAAGATACTAATTGTTATTAAATTGGTATAATACATAGAATAAGAAATTCTTTTTATTTGTATCTTATCAATTTGTAGTACTTTTTGAAGTGAAAACTTGTATAGGCAGGTATGTTTGGATGGGGAGTAAATTCATCTAAGTCGTCATCGACATGGTCACGTGACGTGTCAACGCTAACACTCAGAGTGCCGATAGATGTCGAAAGTAGATAAATGCAAACGGTCTTAATTTACAAATTTTAATTTGAGATCAAACAATTAATTTGAATATCCAAAAATAACAACTGTTTGTACATACCATTCAAAATAAGGTGAAAAAATAAATATTTTTAATCAAATAAATTACAGCGTATTTGGGACATAAAAAGGCAAGTTTTCACCAAATTTCGTTAAAAAAATTTTTTTTTTGAAAAAGATAATAATAAGAAACCAAAAACTTGGTTTTTTGAATTTTTCACATAAATTTTGAGGTTATGTGTAAAAAGTGTAAATACAAAGTTTTAGATCTTTTTATTACCTACAACTTTGCCGTTTGACTTTTTTCGATAGGACTTTTAGTTTTGCCGGAAATCGAGAAAACCCGTTTTTTACCCTTAAAAACTCACCTCCATCCCCTTCCCGACCTCAGATCGCCCGTAAATTATTTTTCCTTTCATTTTTATAATATTCCCCTCCTTTTCTAATGGGTTCCATCCTATTATTATTTTTTTTGGTTTTAAAAATTATCGACCCTGGTCTATTAGGAAATTTAAACAATTAAGATTTATAAGATTAGGAAAAGATGTTATAATTGCGTTTTTTTTAGTAAAAACCTGTATAGATAAACTTAAAAAGCAAAACCCTATCTAAAGACAAAATTTGATCCAAATCGATAAAGCCGTTTCCGAGATACACTAAATATACATAAAAACAAGAATTGCTCATTTAATATAATAAGATATAATTTAAAATATACATTTTACATTCAATTTTATTGGCAGAATTTACTTCTTAGTTAGATTTTATGAAAACTTTATAAAAAGAAAACCGACTTCCAGGCACTAAAATATAAAAAATAAGTAAACGGGGGTTTTCATTTAGAATAGATACCTAATCAGAAATTTTCGAAGTCAATACTGACCCTTTGAACCTTAATCGGTGAACATACATAAAAACAAAGATTCCGACGAATTGAGAACCTCCTCTTTTTTGGAAGTCGGTTAAAAAGGGGAAGCCCCGTTTACTGACGCACACAGCATCTACAATTCTAGGTAGTCTTATAATCTTTCAGGGAAGAAATGATTTGTTTTGTGTCTATATATGCCATTTATCTATGTATATATATATATATATATATATATATATATATATATATATACAGTATATATACATACAGTATATTCCCAAAAGGTTTTCAGTAAATTAAAAATGACCCTGTATATATATATATATATATATATATATATATATACATACATATATATAAAATAATTTAACCTTTTAACAACTAGTTACGTAGGTCAAATCAACAAAATATATGAATAATACATAGTAAAACCACAAGGGCTTCATGTAAGTAATTAAGGAAATAACACGATATTGTGAATCAGATGATTTTGTTCAACACTAGCAACACTTGAAATATAGAAAAGAAAAAAGTTCTATTTTTTTTTGCTTCTGGCAACAAACCAGAACAATATCATAATGCATATCTTGATATGAATAAAGAGGAAAAAAGCAGTTTTTGTTTGTTTTGAAATTTGTTGCGACTAAAAAAATCTATACATATAAATATAATAAAATTATAACTGATTCGAATTAACATTAAATATTTTTTGGAAAATTTTATTGAAATAGTCATTATTATCAATATAGAGGCCGAATCTATAGTTTTTAGAATTTTTGTCTGTCTGTCTTTGACTGCATGACGAGAAAATCAATGGACAGATTTTGATGAAATTTGGTATGATGATAGCTGGTTATCCGGGTAAACAATACAGGATACTTTTTACTGCAGGAAAATATCTTGTCTCTGAGAAATCTTTTATTTCTATAATTTACTACGTTTAGGAATCATAAAAGAAGTCTTATTCTTGTACTAGCGATATTTCTGAACTGTTTTGTTTATGGCCGAGTTTTATAAGGATAGTTTAAAGCTATTTTTTTAAATATAATTTTGACTGACTTAAAGAGAGGTGTATAAGGTATAATCTCTATTTATATATGTTTTTGTATGTTTTTCAATTAAAATTTTTATAGTATTCATAATACACTAGCCGTATGCTGTGTGTCCCTAGATAGTAGATAGATCCAGTAATTATTATGGAACTATCTGGAAATCGAACCCAGTACCTCAAGCTCTGCAATGAAACATTATTTTATATTATCTTTACCTACATAGTATAATATATAAATAGGTATAATAGGCAAAGACAAAAAATGCAGCTTTTTCCTATATTTGTCAATCGATTTTCTTTTTTTTTGTTTAATAGGAATTGACAATCTTTAGTGTTATCTAAAAAAAAAAGCAGTGACGAGGACTGCCGACAGGAGTGAAAGCTTAAAACTGTAAACAAACAGCTGTTATTTTAGAATATTCAAATTAGTTATTTGATCTTAAATTAAAATTTGTAAATTAAAACCGTTTGCATTTATCTGGTTTTGACATCTATCGGCACTCTGAGTGTTAGCGTTGACACGTCACGTGACCATGTCGATGACGACTTACATGAATTTACTCCCCGATCGAAATCTGCCTATATAAGTTTTCACTTCAAAAATGTTGGAAAAAGTTTTTTTTTAAATATAATAGGAAAATTCTATTCTTATAATATGCTTTCCTCAAATTTTCAATAATGATTATGGACGAACACTAGTTACAATTAATAAGCAAAGATGAGTTGAACTCTAAAATATTTGATTTTCAGTCAACTTATATCGTACAAAATATCATATGCAGTGACACAGAATATTGGAAGAAAATTTAGAAGTAAAATACACTTATATCACTTATATGATCTATGCAGATAAATAAAATTGAAGTGTCTGTTTGAATGTCAAATAACAGCTTTTTACTAAATGTATATGAAAGTATAAACGGTACTTATAAAAAAAAACACATTTTTCTTTAAATTTTTGTTCCGGCTAATCTCCGAAATGGCTGGACCGATTTGATGGGACTTTCACTGGCAGATAGCTGTTGCTATAAGGAGTAATTTAGGCTGCTTTTTTTAGAAAAAGAATTAGGGTTCCGTTTAAAAATAATGGAACGTACAGTACATACACACAAACCGATGAACCCGAGCAAGCGAGGGTATTATAAGTTGTTACTAATATATACTCATTTTACGCCTTTATAAATAAGTTCGCATCTGACTCTCAATCAGTTGTTATTTAGAGTTGCTCGGAGGCAGTTGTATCATAGACGTTTAAGCATTAAAACAATGTAATTGTGTGAAGTATATTGTGAATTAAAAAGTTATTTGAAAAACTCAAAAAGGTTTATTTAGTAATTTAGTTATATAATAAATATAAAAAAAGAAAATGTCTTTAAAAAATATAGCGTATTTTATATTATGCGCCGTTATTCACATAAAGGGGGAATATGAAGGTTTGTTAACATTTATTATTTTAAATATTATAAATTAGAAAGTTTGTATGTGTGTCTGTTTGTTCTTCACGCTAAAACGGCTGGACCAAATTGGATGAAATTTAGTATACAGACACATTATGAGCTGGAGTAACACACATACTAAGTATTAACTAAAAAATTTGCCAAATGCATGTGCTACCTGTATAATCTATACTAATATTATAAAGAGGTAAAGTCGAGTTTGTGACGTTGTAAGGTGTAATCTCTGGATCTACTGAACCGTTTAGATAAAATTTGGTAAGAAGATAGTTCGAGACCCTGGGAAGGACATAGAATACTTTCTATCCCGGAAATCATCCCTTTAAGAGGTGAAAATGGGGATGAAAGTTTATATGGAGAAACCAGCTAGAGACGAAGTCGGGCGAAGCGAGGATGAGTCGCAAGTGTATAATAATATAATAATGTATAAAAATATATAATAAAAAAGGCACCTAAAAAGCAAGATTGAAGCCAAGAAAAATCGCTAGTTGTCTATCAAATTAGCAATAAATGATATATATATATATCATGTTTTACTTTAAATTCTTTAAATTCTTTTTTTTCACAATAATTTTGCTTAAACTTGAACTTTCAAGTGGAAATAACATACATAACTGAACGAAAGTTTCTTACACCGTTACCGACCCAGATATATATTTGGTCGATTCCTTAAAAGTTAAAACTGTAGAAATAATTCAAATTGATTCTAGTTTTCAAATAACACTCATAATATATACATATTTTGAAATTAAATTTAAAAATATGTATAGTTTACGAAATAGTTTTTTTATAGATATTTTTGATTTTTTCTTTATTTGTAATATACCTATAGTTAGATTTTTATAAAAAAAATATATTTTTTTTAAATATTTCACTAATTTGTATAAAATAGGATAGGAATTTATTTTAGAAAAAAAAAATTAGTATTTCTCCTGCGTTTTTGAAACAGAAAGAGACAGATGTCGATATCATTATACTATATTTTGCTATGGTAAATTCTGTTATTTAAAAAGCAACTGTTAAGTTTTTCTTGGATTCTTCTCAGCCCACGTTCAGATGACCAAAAACCAAATTCTTAGGTTTTATATATTAGTATACTCTTACATTGCAGTTTTTGTATTTTTTCTCAGAAATGAGATATTTTCCAGCGGTAAAAAGTATCCTATATGTTAACCCGGATAACCAGCTATCACCATACCAAATTTCATCAAAATCCCTCCAGTGTTTTTTCTGTGGTACGGTAACAGACAGACAGACAGACAAAAATTCTAAAAACTATAGATTCGGCCTCTGTATCGATAATAATGTATATTTCAATAACATTTTCAAAAAATATTTAATGTACAGATTCGGCTTAGTTACAATTTTATTATATGTATAGATTACTGACCGGTTATACCAGTTCTATTGTCAATAAAATATCTCAAATAATCTGGTTCACATTGCACGCCATCTTTGATATTTTTGCGGAACTAAGCCAATAAATGATGCTTACTAACAAAGAAACTTATACCACTCATGAATGATATAGAAATGGTATATGTTACATATAAACGTATAAACAGATAATTTACTTTTATTTATTTATAAACTAGCGACTCACACTCGTTTCGCTTTGTTGCTACACAATAACAAATCTATCCCACGGGAACTGCATATTTTTCCGGGATGAAAAGTAGCCTATGTGCTATTCCAGACTATAATCTATCTCTGTGCCAAATTTCATCCAAATCCGTTCAGCCGTTCTGGTATGAAAGAGTAACGAACATCCAGCCATCTTTACAAATGTTCACATATAATATTAGTAGGATTACCTACTACTCTGCCCGGGTGCGTACTTCAGTGCATTTTAAATAAATAAAAAAATATTTATCGTGAATGTACGTACTTTAGGTAGTTGGTTTTCTATACAAAATTTGAACCCCCTTTTTTAACGTTGGGAAATGCATTTCCCATTTGTAATAATTGTAAGTTGGGATAGATATCAGTGTAGATGAGAAAGCCACTTTGTATGTGGTGAATCAACGAGAAGCTCAAAAGGTCGCTATAAATAGTAAGACTATGATTATAAATATAAAAGTTCGTATGTATGTTTGTTACTGCTTCACGTTAAAATAGCTGGACAGATTTGGATGAAATCTAGTACCCAGATAGTCTATGACATGGAGTAACACGGGCTACTGTTAGGCACTTTAGGAACGCAGTCGAGCGAAGCGAAACGAATATTTAATATGTATGGAAGTCTTCCTGATTTGTTGACATTTATGATTACTGCTCCGTTCTGTTGGGTAGTAGCATGATGATATATAGCCTATAGCCTTCCTCAATAAACGGGCTATGTAATGCAAAAAAAATTTTCAAATCGGATTAGTAGTTCCTGAGATTAGCGCGTTCAAACAAACAAACAAATGAACGAACAAACAAACAAACTCTGCTTCTTTATAATATTAGTGTAGATCAAACAGATCATACATCAAATTAATTCACATTATAAGTATCTCGTTATTTTATCCTAGTGGTGGCGTTTTTTCTTCAATTTTATAGGTGATTGGCTGTTTCAAAGTAAGAAACAAACATACAAACTTTCGCATTTATAATCATATTTTGATGAGTCATACAATTCTTTCGCAATTGACGTATATATCGCGTAACATACATCCAAATCGAGAATTTTCTATCTTGATATATGGCAAAATAGTATTTATATTCAAATCCATACTAATATTATAAATGCTAAAGTTTGTGAAGATGTTTGGATGTATAGATGTATGTATGTTTGTTACTCTTTCATGTAAAAACTACTTACTGAATGGATATTAATGAAACTTTAAATAAAGCTAATAAAGCTTATACATCAGAATAACACACATGCTACTTTTTCTCCGGGAAAAATGTATGGTAGATTGGTTTTTGTGTAGGGACGAATCCCAAGCGAAGCAAGGGCGAGTCGCTAGTCATTTAATATAAGTAATGCTTAGCATTATATTTAATTTTCTTGACAGTTGGTTAATTATTAATATTTGTAGAAAAAAACCAAAAGTTTTGCTTTAGATTGACATTTTTTTTGGTGGCTTATAGGTATTATAATTATTTAGTCTGTAATAAAAACATAATTTTTCCAGGTGACGCTTGTGTGAATCAAGATATGGAAGGCATTTGCATGAATATCAGAAAGTGTAAATCAGCTATAGATGATATCAGGAACCATCGCGCTACGCCAAAAGTAAGTGGGAAATTTAAATAAAAACCGTTTTTCTTAGTGTAGACTTAATGAGCAGGTAATTTGTAAGAAGAAAGTTTTTAATTAACATATTCGATTAAAAAATTTATTTAAAAAAAAGTTGTTGTTAATTTTTTTTAAAAAACCGCTCGACCGATTTCGATAAAATTTATATGTTACCACCTAGAAAGTATACCCTTGGAAACAAAAAAAATCCAAATCGGTTCAGGCGTCTTCGAGTATTCGGTGAATATACATAAAAAAAAAGATTCCGACGAATTGAGAACCTCCTCCTTTTTGGAAGTCAGTTAATAAGAATGAAGTTTGCCTCTTGAAATTACGCAGGTACTTTCAAGCAAAATTTTTATTTCCATTTTTTATATTAATAATTAGTTCTTAGTATTTCTAAATTCTATGTATCAATAATTAATTCTAAATATATATTTAATATCAAATACCCAGGGTTTTTTATTGTGTACTAGCATTGCCCGCGGCTCCGCCCGCGTTCAGATGACCAAAAACCAAATTCTTAGGTTTTACAGATTACTATACTCTTACAGTGCAGTTTTTGCATTTTTTTCTCAGAAATGAGATTTTTATCGCGGTAAAAAGTATCCTATATGTTGACCCGGATAACCAGCTATCACCATACCAAATTTCATCAAAATCCCTCCAGTGGTTATTCTGTGATGCGGTAACAGACAGAAAAAAATTCAAAAAACTATAGATTCGGCCTCTGTATCGATAATAATATTTATTTCAATAAGATTTTCCAAAAAATATTTAATGTACAGATTCAGCTTAGTTACAATTTTATTATATGTATAGATTGACTTACGGCTTTTGAGTGAACTATTCATTGATCTATTACTAGCAGAACCCGCGGCTTCACTCGCGTTAAAACTATAAAAAATCTCTGAATAAGTAGTTTAATACAAACTTTCATCCCCTATTTTACCCCCTTATGGGAAAAATTTCAAAAAATACTTAAAAATGTATTTATTTAATTGAAGAGCATTAATACCAAGTTTCAAGTAATTCTGATCATAAATATTTTTTTGAATTGTTTTATAAATAAATAAAAATAATTCCCCGTGGGAATGAGATAATCGCCCGCAGTAAAAAGTAGCTTAATATGTAACTTTGCAGCCCTTCAACTATCTCCACACAAAAAATCACGCCAATCTGTCAATCCGTTTGGACGTGAAAGAAGGACAAACAAACAAACATACTTTCACGTTTATAATATTAATTATGGACTAGCGATGTCCCTAGGTACGTTTTAAGTAGATATAAATATTAAATAGTTATTAGCTAGCGTTAGCCATGTAAATTTTTTTCCGTGAATTTTTCCGACGTTTTAATAGTTATTCTGCTATTCGAGGCGGAGACAAATTCAACAAATCAAGCATCATAAAAATCGGTCCAGCCGTTCTTGAGTTTATTATTTCCTCTTTTTTAATATCATACCTACTAGTTAAATAAAAATAATGTTTTCCCATACAACATTTCCTTATTTATCCCTTTAGAGGATGAATTGCGCTAAATAATATTTTACCGGGTTTCGGTGTCAATCCATACATACATATAATTAAAATTGATGTGTCTGCCTGTGTTATATTTCAAACCTGAACCATACAAACTTTCAGCCCCATTTTCACTCCCTTAAGGGATGATTTCCGGGATAAAAATTATCCTATGTCCCCTTAAACTATCTTCTTACCAAATATCATCTAAATCTGTTCAGTAGTTTCGGAGCCTTTTCGGTACAAACAAACAAAACTTTCCTCTTTATATTATTAGTATAGATATAGATAACTATGTCTTCTTAAGTATATACTTACGAGTCATTTATAAGATACCAGTACCTAAACAACCATTTTTTTTAAATGTCTGTCTATCTATTTTTCCGTTCTTCTGAGGTAATCTTTGGTATGGTTTAAGTGATTGTAATGGGACTTTCATTGGAAGATAAAAAATCAAAATTCGAATTTAGGATTACACGAAAAGATCCTAGATATGTATGTAAGTATTCCGCCTGTTTTTAACATCCCACTGCTAGGCACGGGCCTCCCTTCAGTACGAGGGCAATCAGGCCATAGTCCACCACGCTGACCAGGTGCGGGTAGGCGGACATTACATGTCTTTTGAAAACTTGCTAGGTTCTTTCAGACGTACAGGTTTCCTCACGATGTTTTCTTTCATTGTTAAGACAAATGGTAATCATGTTGGAAATGATTCGCAGATGGAAATATCAGAGGTGCAAGGCCCGGGATTTGAGTTCTATTCACTCGGTTTCCCTAGCGAGCGCGTTACCATTGGGTTACCACTGCCCGTCGTGTGTCGTGTGTCACTGTCGATAAAAAAAAATGTTTTAGTAACCTTAACTCTTAAGGGAAAAAAAATATCGAAATACGAGTATGAATAACACTTTCATATATAATTGTGTGTTTATGCTTTTATCTAATCAAATGTCAACGGATGTGACTATATTATAGTTATGGCCATTGTAATAATAATTATTTACAACAGGTATCTGTAATAATCGAAAGTCAGTCCCCAACACTAACGTCCCACTGCTGGGGGTGGGCCTCCCTTCAATACGAGGGGGATCAGGCCACAATCCACCACGCTGGTCAAGTGTGGCGGACCTCACGTTTCTCGAAAACTTATAGGATTTCTCAAACATGCAGGTTTCCTCAAGATGTTTTCCTTCCCCGTAAAGCATATTCATATTTAAAATAATTCACATATGAGAATATCAGATATTCAGGACCAGGGATTTGAACCTGCCTCACTTGGTTTTCAAGTAAGCACCTCCGTGGGCGATGTGCCATGTGGGTTGCTCCTCGCACTTTTCCGCTAGCAGAGTGGAACGTGGGAACAACCCCTTTGTTGTGTTCTGCTTCGGCAGGTAGCCGTCAGGGCGTCATGGTCGAGTGCGTAAGCGATACTGCGATCTCCCATTAAGGCGAAAGATGTTCCGTTGGGTTTTAGTGGGTAGTACTGGCTTTTCTGGCCTGATAGTCCCACATAACCACCTGTATGTATGCAGGTAGTATGCGTAAATGCATTTCCCAATGTCAACAAAAAGGATTTGAACCTTAGACCATTCTCATAATAATATCTTAGGAAGCATTAGATAATATAGTAATTAGTTGAGCAATAATGAGCCAATTTATAGATTGAATCATTTAATTATCATTAACTTATTTACCTATAAACTAGGTAATTAAGATTGTCAGCGCAAAAGTGACCTAACTCTAAAAAAAATCTAAGAAGCATGAATATTTTATTACCCGTCTTCACAAAAGAGGTCCCCAATTCAGATGTATGTTTTTATGTGTATGTTACGCGATACCTTCGTAAATTGGAAACCGATTTTTTTTTGTTAGCTCAAGCCTACCCACGTGTTATCTCACACCCACGAAATAACCCACTATTAAGTGTGAAGTAATATTTCAAACTATTATATTTTGGGTTAGCTTTCTAGTAATAATATGACTTGGTGTTAAGTCAGACCAACTGGATTCGCCTTTCCGAATCATTCTAACATATTCGTTTTTATTAATGTGCCATTAGTACTATTGTGACATTTTGTTGATAATATTTGTATACTCTTTGTTTTATAGAGGCATCTAAACTTCGACTAGCTTTTGGTATCTGCTTGTTCTTAGTTTTTTACCAAATTGGTAAGAAACAGCCCTAAAGAAGACGCACGCACAAATCTGCACGCACGCATGCATCCATGCACGTACAGCACACGTTATGTAAGGACTATCATATACTATCTGTGTATCTGAGTACAGTACATGAGTACAAGTCTAAGGTCCACCGTCCAAGGATCAAGGTTCACGAGATGAAAAGTCTTATCAAACTTCTAACAATAGAATCAAAGTAAAATATATCACTGTGGCTTATGATCCCTTATTAAATTGTTCATCGCCATTACTAATTAAAAAAAATTGGTATGGATTGAATGAAACATAAATTAGAACTAAAAATAAAATTAAAATGACTCAATGCACATACGAAATAGATACAACATGGTACAAAAGTGACATAAAATCAAATTAGTCAGTATAATATTTATGATACTATATATATACTAGCAATGCTCTAAGACTCCACCTGCTAATTTGGTATTAATATTATATATAATTACAAAAGTGGGTATTATTGTATAAATATTTTTTTTTACAAACAAATATAAAACATATCGGCCTAAGATATAATTTCCTTCTTTTCTAAACTTGGTTAAAAATTAATAAATAAAGTTTTTTTTTTACGTTCAATGTAGGTACATTGACCTGTTATAGTATATATATATATATATGTATATATATATATATATATATATATATTTGACCTGTTATAGTATATATATATATATATATATATATATATATATATATATATATATTGTATAAAAAACTCAGCCTTTATTATTTACTATAATTATTATATTGTGATGGTCGTGACTTTGAAGAAAACATGTCTAACCAAAAAAAATAAAAAAAGTAGTCTAAGTTACTTCTTATCATATCAGCTATCTGTCAGTAAAAGTTGCGCTGAAATCAGTCTAGCCATTTCGGAGATTAGCCGGAACATAAAGACCGAAAGACAAAAAATAAAAAAATTGAGTTATTCTTATAAATATCGTATATAATTTCATAATCATCATTTAGAAAAAGTTGTTATTTTGACATTACAAACAGACACTTCAATTTTATTTATCTGTATAGATGTAAAAAAGTAAAATATATGTATAAGTAAATATTTATTTCTCCGTACTACTAGACGTACTACGTCTAGACTTTACTGATTAACTTGTACAGTAGGTATTATTATAATTTGACGATGCGTCATATTATGTTTTTTTTAATGTTCTTTATTTTCCTCATAAAATCAGTTAAACAGGTTTTACATCTTTAAGCATTCGGGTGCAAAAAGGGATAAATATAGTAAAAAAAAGCAGTCTGAGGACTGCCGAAAAAAGTGAAAACTTAAAACTATAAACAAACAGTTGTTATTTTTGGACATTCAAATTAATTGTTAATTGTTTAAACTTAAATTAAAATTTGTAAATTATAACTGTTGACATTTATCTGGTTTCGACATCTATCGGCACTATGAGTGTTATCGTTAACACGTCACGTGACCATGTCGATGACGACTTACTTGAATTTATCCCACCTGTTATTTTTACACATTACCCCTTCCAAACCTGCCTTTAGACTTTTTACTTCAAAAATACCTCCTCGATAGTAATATTAGTATAGTTGCATGGTATAGAAAAATTTAAGAATTATATTTCATACTAGTGCTCGAAATTCGACTATAATCATTATTGAAAATTTAAGGAAAACAATATTATATATATATATATATATATATATATATATATATATATATATATATGTGTGTATATATATATATATATATATATATATATTACCTGTTTATATAAATAACCAATTTTTTTCATAGTTTGTAGAATATATTTTTTTTAATTATTTAGGTTGTGACTCTTTTTCACCGGACTGCACTAAAGCTATAAGGATAAAATTTGTTTAATGCGTCAGAACGAGTCACTTTGGTTTTTCCAGTCATTTTGTACACAGATGTTTGAAATCATTTAAAAACATAACTTTGTTACGTGTATAGCAAACTAGCGCTTACGTGTTCGGTTCCACTCGTATATTTTTTGACCTTGACCGTTTGATTTTTTTGGTTTTATGACTATTTAATAAACGTCATGTATACATGTTACATATAAATTTTTTTTTAGAAAATGTTATTGAAATTATCATTATTATCGATACAGAGGCCGAATCTAATTTTTGTCTGTCTGTCTGGGAACGCATCATGAGAAAACCACTGGACAGATTTTGATGAAATTTAGTATGATGATAGCTCGTTATCGGGGTCAACATATGAAATCTATACTAACCGTTAAAACGTAGGGACGAACCCGAGCGGAGTGAGGGTGAGTCGCTAGATAATAAAATAGCAATGTAGTGCGAGTTCAAAGTGTAATTTACGATTTATTTAAATCTTTTTTATATTAATACAATATGGCTAAGCAAAACCAGTGATGTAAATCATGTCATTTTAAAATATCTTTTACATACAAATTTATTCTTATTAATTTTTATACTTAAAATTTTATAAAAAAAAATAAACACAAAAAGTTTGTATACAAAAGGAAAAATATAAGTATGACAGTAGTTATTCTTATTATTATATGTTTTTAAAGTGTCATATACTTCCGTCCCTTTCTTACACAGATGATTTGCTATTACCATCTCTTTCTTTGAAACAGGACAGAAGGAGCGTGTTTTGCTTCATAAGTACATTGACCTTGACTTATAATTGACTTGCAAAGTACCGTATAAAAATATAAAACTACTTTCTGGCCGCGACTTCTTCGTAACAAGTATTTTTTCAGCGCCATCTATAAAAATATAATCCTACTAATATTATAAATGTGAAAGTTTGTGCGGATGTATGGATGTCTGGATGTTTGTTGCTCTTTCACGCCAAACTACTGAATGGATTTTAGAGAAATGATACAGCTCATACATCAGAATAACATAATATAGGCTATTTTTCATCCCGGAAAAAGTACGGTTCCCGTGGGATAGATTTGTTTTTGTTTTTCTATAGACTAACCCAATCGAAGCGAGGTTGAGCAGTTAGTAGATAATTTTGGAACAAAATTTTTCTTTTGGGTTTGATGACTAAAAAGTACAGTGTCTCAAAGTGTCTCACGTTCAGGTCTTAAATTTTTTAAATTCTGTGCATTAAATTTCATCCAAATCCGCCTAGTGATTTCATTATGTACCTACTAACAAACATATAATATATGTAAATATTATTATGCTTTCGTGTCTCAATTTTATGAGACTGATTTTTTATCTGTACAGATAATAAATAATATTAAAAAAATATGGTTCACTAAGTTTTAGTTCAAACGTAAAGGTCGGTTTAAACAAGCGTAATTTAAAAAAAAATCTGTGTTTTTAATGTTTGTCAAAAAAATAAACAAGCAGATATGTTCACATGTATTTTACATAAAATGACTTTATATCGTTTAAGGTAAACTAGTTTTGTAGGTATATCATAAAATATAAACAACTTAGAGGAAATTATATATTCACAGAAAAACCAAGCATTTGTAAATTAATTTTTTTGTTGTAAAAATATGTAGAGATAATACTTTTTCTTAATTCAATTTAAAAAAAAATCTGTGTCAATCAGTCAAAATCTTAATTCAAAGTCTCTTTTAATAGCCATATTAGGTATCTAGTATAATATTACGTTGGTAGACTACGTTGGTACTCAAAAATTTGTAACAAAAAGTGAACATAATCACGTATAATCGTTATTTTTATTTAAAACCAGCGGCTCACTCTCGCATCGCCCGGGTGCGTCTTTATGTACGTTTTAATTTTTTTTTAGTGGAACCCTAATTCTTTTTCTAAAATAAAAGTAGTCTAAGATACTCCTTTCAACATCAGTTATCTGCCAGTAAAACTCTCGTTAAAATCAGACCAGCCGTTTCGGAGTTTAGATGGAACAGACAGACAGACAAAAATGTTAAAAATTGTGTTTTTTGTATAAGTACGGTATATATAATTTCATATGCATTTAGTAAAAAGCTGTTATTTTGATATTACAAACAGACGCTTCAGTTTTATATATCTGTATAGATAGGATAAAATAATATTGCTGTCACATCCATATTTTCTTTTTGTTATTCCGATGAATTACATTAATATTTTTATAAAATATCTAATAATATAAATTTTGTTAAACAACACAACGCAATATCTATGGAAGATTTTGCGTAATGTGTTGTTATATTTTTTTTTTAATCAAGCTACTTATAAATAGGAAAGATTGTCTGCGCGTACCTTTGTTTGAGCCTGTGTCTTTGCCTGTGCCTGTATCTGTACCTGTGTCCAGCGCTGGATTTACACTAGGGGCACTCGGGGCTAGGGCCCAGGGCAGTGAATTTTTAGAGGCGGCAAAATTCGGAGGGTGGGAAAAAAATCTCTTCGCGTTATCGAAAATGCTGTTTAATTTTCCAAAAAATGAATAATAAAAAAAAACTAGTATATTTTTCGAAAAGTTGAAATCATTTATAAATTATTTATCTGCATTATTCAAAAAAAAAATAAAAAAAGAAAAGTTTATCAATACTTTACCCATTTCATGCAAAGTGTCGATAGTTTGGCGGCATTTATTACTATGTCCAGAGGCGGCGGTAAGGTTAAATCCGGCACTGCGTGTGTCTGTATTTATTTTCTCTTTACTAATATTCTAAATTTAACGTATTCGGAAAGATTAATATATTCAGTAACAAAGCGATGTTATCCATCTGATATGATACATCTATGTATGTAAAATGTACCCAATATGATACATATTTTTCAGTAAATGATTCAAAATACAACTATTGTTTTTTTTTCGTATGCCGTATTACCTATAATAGAAAAGTTCTCATGTGTTTCAGAAAATAGTATTTGTTATATCTTTATTTAATACTAGCGATTTATTCCCCATACAAACTTTCATGCCCATTTTCAACCCCTTAAGGAATGCTTTCCGGGATAAAAAGTATCTTCTTACCATATTTCATGTAAATCGGTTCAGTAGATCCAAAGATTACCCCCTACAACGTCACAAACTCACAAACTCACCAATTTTACCTCTTTATAATATTAGTATAGATTTACATCTCAAAATCTTTTGACTCTCTCGAGTATATAATAAAAGATTATTATTATTATAACTTTTTGTGTTGTCTTTTGGAACTTTCATATATGTAGAAAACAAACAGCTAATAATAATCAAAGCCTACCATAAGCTCTTGAGGACCTAAGGGTTAAAGTCTGTAAAATTTATTTTATTAAATATAAAATGCAATGAAATTTTGTACATAGTACATTCGTATAAAATATAAAATAGATCGTCAGTTTGTGGATGAACACCATCTAACGTGTATACAAGAAACAAAAATAGTCCGAAGAGTAGCCCGTGTTTATTATGTCCAATTTCTTTGTATAGGACTGGGCATCTTTACTACATAGTATTATATTGTCTGTACTATGGTGATATTTTAGTATCTAATTTTATCTCTCTCTTACAGCTCTGCTCATTTACAAGTACAGATCCTATTGTTTGTTGTATGGATAATCCAAAGAAGATCACTTATCAACCACCAGTCGCGACAACTAACAGGTATATTTTATATATTTAAAAAAAATGATTGGTACCTATATGGGTACTAGAAGACAAGATATGATTTTAGAATTTGTCTTATGTTTATTTGTGCCATCATTTCTCGAGAAAGACTGAACTGATTCTAATGCCATGTCCAAACGCTTGCTATTTGCCACACACTTTGAGTCTCTATAAACGCACAAACATGTGGGCATCATAAGTACTTTCCGCAAATTTCTTTTGACTTGTGCACAAAAACGGACACGATCAGAACGGTCACAAGTGCTTGCAAACCTACATAAGCAAATCCAAAGGCTCTCTTCATATATTTGAATTTGTGGTGGCTTGTCGAGGCTTGGCAAGCGTTTCAATACGGCATAGTAATTTTTAGGTGGTACATACAACACATTTTCTAGATACTAAATATAAATGATCAAATGGAGGTTTAACGAAAGTCTTTTTGCAATGACTGACACTCAAAAAACCTAAGCTGTATGCATGGGAAATCTATACTTTTAATATAAAATGTATTAATTTCAGACCTCGTTCAACTACTGAGTACGTACCACCTATGTACGATTATGTTCTGAATGACAAAGTCAAGTCCGAGGAGGATGGGTGTGAGGCCTTACCCCCTAGTATGACTCCCCCGAAAATAGGGCAAAAAGCATGGGATAGTAAGTATACGAAACTAAATACGTTTTTTAGTTGGTGCCTGTCCGGATTCGGAGAGCCTGGGTTCGAATCCTGGGTAGGGTTAAATATAATCCAATATTTTTCTGTCAAGAAATACACGTTCTACCGGAGTTTTAAAATGAAAGGAATAGAGTGCGTGTTGTGTCTGCACGTACACTTGTGCACTTCATCTCCTGCACAGTTGGTTAGTCTGAGTGAGATTAGTCACCGTGGCCGAAATTGGTCTAGAAAATTTTAATGAAGAATCTAAATGAATATTGACAAAGTCACCAATTGTTTGTTGAAACACTCCGATCCAATCTCTGAAACTAACAATTTGCTTTGAATAGCCTATATAGGTACATTACATTTCCAAATATTTTTCACTAAACTCCAAAATACTCGTAGACGTTAACTCTCAATAACGAGATCTCATTTTTTACAGAGTGTATAGAATATCAGCAGAAATATGTATATCCGTGTGAGAGAGGTGTAGATCTTACTGGAAAAATGGCTAGAACCAACAAATGCAAACACAGCGTCATAGATCTTATTGTAGGTGGAGTTGCAGCCACTGAGGCTGAGTTCCCGCATATGGTATGTACTAAACTCGGAATTGGACCACTATTTTTTTTAGGTTGGTGTGAGATTTAAAGTATACATATTTGTATTTTAGGATTATTTTTATGTCATTTTTTTAATGTTATAATCTCGCGCTTAGTTTTGAGAATTACGCAGTTTTTGGACTACTATTATAAGTCCGACAGTTTGTATGTCTGTGTGTATATGTTTGTTACTCCTTCACGCTGAAACGATGGACGGATTTGAAGGAAATTTTGTACATAGATTATATTGCACCTAGAAATTTACACGAGCGAAGTGATAGAAAGTTGCTAGATTTAAAAACAACTGTGCATTTACCGTTCATCTATTCTGTTATTTTAAATAGGAAATATTTGCTTGTTTGTTCATGATTAGTAAATTTTGAAACTGCTGAAACGATTTTAATAACTGTCTCACCATTGGAAAGCTGTGTTATCTAAAAGTAAAGTAAAATAAAACAATGTTTTTTTTTAATCTGGGGGTGCCTGTTATACAATTACGTGTAAAATTAAAAGAGAAATTTGAACAGCTTACACAAAATACACGAAAAACTCTGGCAAAATGCTTTTTATTTGTTTCTAAATACTAACCTATTTTTGATTTTTTTTATTAGTTAGCTTACCTTGACGCTACCATTTTGATTTGAATAAAAAAAATTACTTCTAATGGTAACAGATTGCGGGTGGTGGCTAACTACAAAAAAAATACCAACAAAAAAACTGAAAAACGGAAACAAATAAATACTTTTGAAAGTTTTTTTGTTTCCGTTTTTAATTAGGATAATACGAAAAAAAAATTTTTGTGTCTAAAATCTACTAATTCAGTCGTTAATCTAATACAGACTGAAGTGTTTTTATTGGTAGTGGTGATATTTTTATATTTCAGGCTCTCTTAGGTTATGGCAAAACAGAAAGCTCTAGCCAATGGCTTTGTGGTGGATCCATTATAAGTGAAAGATATATTCTGACAGCAGGACACTGTACGTCGAGTCGAGATTTGTAAGTCATCTATATATATAATAAAATTCTAACTGAGTCGAATCTGTATATTAAATATTTTTTGAAAAATCTTATTGAAATAGTCAATATTATCGATAAAGAGTTCGAATCTACAGTTTTTAGAAATTTTCATCATAAGAAAACTGGACAGATTTGATGAAATTTGGTTATTAACATATAGGATAATTTTCATTGAGGGAAATATATCATCTCTGAGAAATACATACTAACCGTTAAAACATATCTTGGGACGAACCCGAGCGGGCCGACGGTGAGTCGCTTGATTTGTAAAATAAACTACTTTTTAATTATAATAATTTTAATATTTTCTTATATTTAGACGAATATTTGATATTTTAAATAAAGCCTAAATGTTTTTTTTATTTCGAATGTTTTCGTTTCGTTTTGATTTTTTGGTTCTTGGGAGAGATCAACCTCTTGAGGCTAAAGCCGCTAAGAAATCTCTAAGCTATGAAAGCTGGAGACGAGAATTCTCGTCCTCTCTATCTTCAAAATATATCTTGTTGTAGTCTACTTAATTTAATAATTCTTCAAATATTCAATTCAATTATCTTGTTATTGGCATCAAAGCGTGCCAGTTTAGCATAGTTTATCTCACCAATGTCACGTATAATGGAGAAGGCACGAGAGAGATTTGTCGGATTCTTTAAATATTATTTGATTTTAAAGTGTGTGTGTTTTTTATGTTTCAGCGGTAATGTCACTTACGCCCGCACAGCTCTACAACGCCGTACAGAACCAATAAACAGCCTTCGTACATATAAGATAAAAAATATTATCAAGCACCCTGAATATAATCCCCCTCATAGATACAACGATATCGCATTACTGGAGGTAGATAGAGAGTAAGTTTTACTTAATACTTTCTTAGATTTACGCAAATAATTGACATTTATACTTAATATTATAAAGAGGATAGATTTTTTTGTTTGTTTGTTTGTACCGTATAAGCGCTGAAACTACTGGATCGATTGAGATGAAATTTGATAAGAAGATAGTTTGAGACCTTGGGAAGGATATAGGATACTTTTTATTCCGGAAATCATCCGTTAAGGGGGTAAAAATATGTTTGAAAATTTGTATTGGGAAGTAAGCTAGGGACGATCATATAATAAAATTCTAATTGAGTACAATCTGTACATTAAATAGTTTTTGGAAAATCTTATTGAAATAGTCACTATTATCGATACAGAGTCCAAATCTATAGTTTTTAGAAATTTTGTCTGTCTGTCTGTCTGTCTGTCTGTCAGTCAAACCACTGGATTGATTTTGATAAAATTTGGTATGATGATAGCTGGTTATCCGCGTCAACCTGTCGTATCTCTGAGAAATCTATACTAAACGTTAATGCATACGAAGTCAAGGCTTGAGTCAAGATGGTTTACAGTAAAATTGTCGTTCTATTTCAGTATGCAACTCGACCAGTTCGCTGTACCCGCGTGTCTAGATCTAGGAAGTCCTAACACGTATGACCGTGCGCTAGCCTCTGGATGGGGAGCGACCAAGAATCGAGGATCTAACGCTGATGAGTTACAGAAGGTAAAGTAGTTTCTTTAATATTTCTTCTAAGGCAGTGGTGGCAGAGTGGTAACGCGTTTAGAAAACCAAGTGAAGTGGGTTCAAACTCTGGGTCTTCCACCTCTGATATAATCTTCTTTAAATGTCTTACGGCGAAGAAAAACATCGTGAGGAAACCTTCTGTCTCTTGAGAAAACCTAGCAAGTTTTTGGAGGACATGCTCAGTCCATCCGCACTTGGCCAGCGTGGTTGGCTATGGCCAGTTGCCCCGAGTTTTGATGGAAGGCCCACCCCCAACAGTTGGAGCTTTAAAAGATGATTACTAATACTAAAAAAATATTTTTTACAGGTGGTTCTAGAGAAGTTTTCGACTGGGGAGTGTAGTGAATTGTTCCCATCGATGCGACTGATGGTCAACGGCTTCGATGAAAAGACTCAAATATGCTATGGAGATAAGAACATGTCCAAAGATACTTGTCAGGTAAAGATATTAGTACTTTTCGTAATAAATATTATTCATAATAGATTGTTTTTTCATTGTTTTATTTATTTTTCTATTTTACTGTTGAAATTTACTTTTATTTTTTGTCATTATGTGTGATTTTTTTATTTGAAGTAAAACTTGTTTAGGCGAGACTGAGGGGTAAGTTAATACATTGGAAAAATGGGTGTCGCTGAAGTAAGAGTCAAATTTATTATTAACTAACATTGCCCGCGGCTCCGCCCGCGTTTAGATGACCAAAAACTAAATTCTTATGCAGTTCCACAGCGCCAAAGAAGTTTTACTTCAACCGCGCGTAAAGGTTTCAATGGGCATAATAACTCACGATATCCTATCTTATCCTTACATTATAAACGTGAAAGTTAATGAGGATGAATGGGTGGATGGAATTTTGTTGCTCTTCCACTCAAAAACTACTGAACGGATTTTGATGAAACTTTAAGTAACTACAGGTGCAAAGCTGCGGGAATATACAAGTTTAAACGAGGTAATCTATAAATAAATTTTCATTTCCAGGGCGACAGCGGTGGACCTCTTCAGTTAAAACATAAGCAAATTAACTGCATGTACACGGTCATTGGGGTGACTTCCTTTGGCCGAGCCTGCGGGTATATAGGCGAGCCGGGTATATATACGCGGGTAGCTGCATACGTACCCTGGATTGAAAGCGTTGTATGGCCATAGCTGTTACACAAGGAGAAAAATAAAATTGAAAATATACAAATATTTGTTTTTTTATTTTTTATTCTATACTAGTGATTTACCCTCACTTCGTTCGGTTACGGCCCTAGATGCGTTTTATATATATATATTTAAAAATAATTATTGCGAGTGTACCTTAAGAGATAGACTATAGACATACATACACTATTGCGTACTTTTCTGTAGGTCTCTTTAAGACTTACAAAATAGTTCATTGTTTTGTTCTACAGCGTTAGCCATATCTAAAGATGATTCAACAGAACCAGTTATTGTATTTTTAGACCAATGTAATCCGTTTATTTTTAAGAGAAATAAATATATTGAAAACCTGAAGTTTTACGGTTTTAAAAGTTTTTTTTAAATGTAAACGATTTATTTAAAATGTAAACGTGCACTTGAAGTTGGGGGTGAATTCAGCCCCTTGATACCATAAAACACTAATGATATGTATTATATAAAATACTTTTCTCAGAAATGGCTATTTCAATTTTAATTTTTTTTAATTTATTATATGTATTTTGAAGATCAAATTCCCTTAGTTTCATGAAAATAAAAAAAATATTCTAGAAATCAAGAAAAAATTTAAAAACCGAGTTTTCTGCTAATATCTCGAAAACTTTGAGGTTGTTGTAAAACATTTTATTTATAAAAGTTGTAGATTTTTACTAGACCTACAACTTTTGTAGAAAATATTTTTCGATAGAGCGTTACAGTAAGCTGAAAATTGAAAAAAATTTTTTTCAATGCTTTGCGTCCCCCCATTTCTCGGGGGTACTGGGCATGTGGGCATTTTACGAATTTCTATTCCTTATATACCTGCTAACATTTTAAGATCATAAAACTTTAAGTTTTCAATATTTTGTTCCCAAACTGGATTCCGCTTGAACTATTTCTCGTGGCAATGAAAGATTTTCCTTAGTAAAAGGTATCCTAAATGTTGAGCCGAGTAATAAGTTATCACTACACAAAATTTTGCTAAAATCGGTTCAGTACTTTTTGCGTGAAACGCACATAGATACAGAGTCAAACGGACATATAGACAAACATTTCAGTAACTATTGTTTTGGAGTTTGAATACGAATGAATTTAATTGAAAGCGTTTATGTCTGTACATAATACGTTATAGTCATTGTTTTTTTTTAAAGTTCATGTGCAAATTACGCTTTGTTACAACTTATACAGGGTCATTTTGTATTTACTGAAGACCTTTTGGGAATATACTATTTACATCATAACAACAACATCTTTAAAAAAGAAAATAATATTTCTTAAATTTTTATTTTCATATTAAAATAAAAATATTTTTATTGCACCTTCTAAACGGTAAACTAGCATCTGACCAAATTTAAATGAGTAAACACCGCCTCCTGCACCCCTCCAACCCTCCCCCTCCACCGGCTACGCGCATTCTTTTGCTAATGCTGGACTATTACCGTTTAGAAGGTGCAATAAAAATATTGTTATTTTTGTAAAATTTAAGAAATAATTTTGCTTTCTTACAGATCAACTGCCTCGGTGGTGTAATGGCTAGTGTACGGCTGCACACCCGGAGGTCCTGGGTTCGAGTCCCGGGTCGGGCCAAGTTTAGTTATTGAGTCTTCCTGTATAGTAAGTCTCAGTAACAGCCCGGAGTTGGGAAGTTGGCGGTGTTTCACCTCCGTGCCTCGGAGAGCACGTAAAGCCGTCGGTCCTGCGCCTTAACTCTCACTGGTCGTGTCTCGCGTCGTCCCACCGGAGTATGAGAGTGACAGGAATAGAGAGTGCACGTTGTGTCTGCGCGTACACTTGTGCACTATAATATCTCCTGCGCAGTTGGCTAGTCTCAATGAGATTGGCCGCCGTGGCAACATTTCTTTGTTGGAAAACAAATGTTGATTTAAGTATATTAAAAACTGAATTTTGTTGACTTTTTAAATATTTATGTTATTTTTATTTGTCAATAAATGATGGTTACGCAAGGTAGTGCTTGTTTCATAGTATTCACATACTATGTATTTCTTAGTATAAAGTCTTTTTTATTTTTTTAAATAATTGTAAATCTTAACATAATACTATTAAAATATTCGGCAATTATTCGGCATTTTAACCGAATATTCGGCCGAATACGAACACAAAATAAGCGCCGAATATACCGAATACGAATATTCGGCCAAACATTCGGCGCATCTTTAATATAGATATATCTAGTTACAAAGTCGAATCTAACGCTGTATGAATTATTAAAATTGATTTAGCCGTTTAGTAATTACGAGGGAACATGGGATCGGACATACCTACATACATATGTACATACATACGTACAGCTTAAACACGACCCTCCTTTCGGCTTCGCCGCAGTCGGGTAATTAGTCTAGCAATTTCGAAGATTAGCCAGGACAAACAAACATACATAGCTGGTTAAGCATTCTATTAGGATTTAAGTTATATTTTAAAATCATAAACAAATAATAAACGAGATAAAATTTGCAATACTTGCATTAGAAGTAATAATTAATATGACGTTATCTTGCATCTAAGGTTATCTTCTATGCTTATTTATTGCTTCGAAGAGTCCGGACGTGTTTTAATGATGAAAACTAAAATATTAATATTTATAATTTTCCATAATTATATTGGAAAATGTTTTTGTTATACAAAAATAGGTAAGTCTATGTTATTTGATAAAAAAAACCATGGGATTGGTAGCTGTTTGCCGATGTGTTTGCTTATCGAGATTGGTGGTGGGATTTGCAAGGGATGAATTGTGTTGAGTTTTTATTAAGACCCACTCAGACCTTTCTTAAGATACTATATTTTACTTGTAATGTACAACTTTAGGCAAAAATTTTAATTGACTATCCGATTGGTTTAAACAAAATAATTATAAGATTTAGACAGATTTTTTGCAAAAAAGTGAGCCATAATCCAATGAGCCATAATCCATACTAATATTATAAATTTGAAAGTGTGTGTTTGTTCTTGTGGCTTGGTCGTATCGTCACTACAAGAATTATTGTGTAACAGAAGAGTAATGAACAGTGAATAAATTTTTCACTTTACAACCCATGTAACGGTAGCGAAACGGCCAAGCTACATATTTTGACTAAGGTATAGAGTTTGTGAAGTTAGGGCGTGTAGAACTAGAAGCTTGGCTCTATATGAGATCTGATAACTTTTTGACAGTGCAAGCCTCAGGTCTCGTCTTGGCAACATTTTCCATGAAAATGTTTTTGGTAGGATAATTAAAACTGCTTGTTGCAAAAATCACGTATACATAACAACACCTTGCGAAACTTAAAAGTAAGATGTTCAGAATAAGAGTAAAATATAAATGTTTATGATAGATTTTTTGTTCGAGCTGAAATTGTTGTTGAATTATCTTATTCAGGCCATCAGTAAAAAATATTGTAAATATTTTATTTTACTTTTATGTTAAAACTTCATAAATATGCCTACATAAACCTCGGTGTGCGAATCAGACTCGCATTTGTCCTGTTTTTATTTCTAGCAGTATGTATTCTTACATCTATTCTGATTGCCTAGGCCACCTGAGAGCTAAATTTCATCATAATTACTTGAGGTATTGTGATGCTACGAGGTCACAGGCTAACATACTTTTTGAATATTTACATATAACAATAACTACCTAAAGATATCATACATATGGTTCATTACAGGCGAGCCCTGCAATATAAACACATTTGTAGGAACATGCAAGCCGATTATGAAATGTCCAATTGCTATAAAGATAGTAAGCCAGGATATAGAACATCCACCGGTAAATTGCACACTTATTTTTAATTCATTTCATTCCTCCAGCCATTTTAACATTTTACTGCTTTCACCAATAATGCCAGTCTCACACCAAGATCACCCGAGAGCGAAGAGAGATGAAGAGGCAAACGAAGTTTGCATCCTGCACTAAAAATGCCAGCATCCCACACAAAGAAGTTCTGAGAGTGCATTGCCAACTTCAGCACAACTGCTCTAAATGCTCCGAAAAATTTGCTATCAGCTAGCATAATTAACAATTTCAAAGACGCGAAATTATATTCCTTTTCTAATCTTTAATCCTTTAATAATAATAACCTTTCCAAAATTTAAAAACAAAAAAGAAATACTGAGTGTCTGCGTTGGCTGTTTTGGGAGGATTTTCCAACATCGCCATCCAAGCGGGTTGGCGATTACAGTTAAATGTGTGTGCGTTCGAAAAATGCTGTTGCCGTTCTCCGCTGTTTTTTACCTAAAAAAATTTAAAAAACATTAAGTTTGCAGATATAAAATATATTTTTTTTACATAAAATTATTTGGTATTTCTCAATAACTTTAATAAGTAAAATATATTTAATTAATATTAGATTTCAGATAAGAACTTTTTAAAATTATTTGCCTGATGATTTGACAAATTGAAGATGGAAAGAAGTATTTACTTTTAAAATACCTTTTATAAGCAAAAAAACGTTTTGATAGTTAACTAATACCTTCGATTAACAATACTATTCCAAGTTTCAAAATTACCGCTCAATCTAATTTGAGTCTAAAAAAAAAAAAACTATTGTTGATCGAAGACTAAACCAAATATATACTTAATAAATAAGCATTCAGCTTATTTTATTTTAAACTGAAAACAAATTTAGAAATTAATCCGCGAAAAGGTGCTTTATGTTAAGTGAAAATTATTATCTTTTTGCTTTTGAAATTTTAGCAGTCTGTTCTGTGGGTGCCTTTTTACGTGACGACGTGTGTACCTACAAACTAATGAATTCATTAAAATCTTTTTTAATATTGTTGACCAACTCTGTTTTGTTAATGCACTTAATATTATTTTAGACATGCTTTTGGCAAGAGAAGACTCCTATAGTCTGCTGTCCACCAACCAACGTAGATGTCATAACCGGTCCAAGGCAAATCAGGGGACTCTTTAGAAGTGGCCGTGTAAGGAAGACAAACGATATGGTAATTTGTGACTTTTTTGGACATAGTCTATTTGAGGTGGACTC